ATATATCAGTTGGATATACTTACATCTATGTTAATCTTTCCAGTGTAACTCTAATCTTGTATCTATCGTTTCAAACGACAATCATGAATATGAATGAAGCACAAAATTACCTAGTTGATAAGATAGAAAACATCTCCCTATAGTTAATTAGAAAAATTTAGTTATCATTTAAAAAAAATAAACCGCTTAAATAATTTTAAAATTCATCTTACCACTGAAAGAAATTGTAACCATAGAGAAACATTATATCAAGGAATTTCAAGCTAGTATACTATCTGGTCAGCGACAAAGTAAATCTCTAAATCACCATGGAGAGATTTCATGGTTAACGTTTTATAAATTTGCATTGAACATTAAGATTATAAGATATAACTGAAAAGCAAACAATGTCTTTAAAATTTCTTCACAGAAAGCTACCGATTTAAAATATTCAATTGTCTGTTGATGTCATATCATATTAAAACAAAATACCCATCTGAGATCTCAAAAAAGCCATTTAATTATGCTAATCATCCCTCTCTTCACGCAAGATACTCAACATCCATTAACCGGATACCATCAACAACAGCCTTCTCTGGGAGAGAACAAACCAGCTTCCAATTGAAGAGGAAATTAGAAGGCGATGGAAATGGATAAAGAAAAACATTGAAGAAATCGTAAAACTGCATCACGAGGCAAGCCCCAACTAGGAATCCTAAGGAGAAGCGGAAAAGAGGAAGGAAAATGATAAATAACAACTGGAAAGAGCTGGAAAAGATTGCCCAGGACAAGGTTGGATGGAGAGTGCTGGTGGGCGGCTTATGCTCCTCCACGAGGAGTAACAGGAGTAAGTAAGTAATCATCCCTCTCAAAAAAGTACTCTTCATTCAATCATATTGTAGTGTAAATAAAAACGTTTTCATACTAAAATCATTGAAGTATTTTTGTATTACATAACAACATTTGTTTACTTTATTCTTTTTTTTCTCTCTCTCTAGAAATACGTTACAGGAAGCTGTTTTAACTAGATAAAAACATTTTATAATTGACACTAATCTAAATATCAACAGATTAGTAATACACAATTATATTTATAATTACGAAACACATAAACTTTTAAAATGTTCGCCATATATATCAGGGTATATCACTGGACATGGTTCCTTTTCTAAACAGTCATTAATTCGTGTTTATATATGTATAAGTCTTAGTTATATGGTTATTCATAAAATGAAGCTTTATTACTTACTTACTTACGCCTGTTACTCCTCGTGAAGGAGCATAGGCCGCTCACCAGCATTCTCTATCCAACCCTGTCCTGGGCAATCCTTTCTAGCTCCGTCCAGTTGTGATTCATCGTTTTCATATCTGCTTCTATTATCCGACGCAATGTGTTCTTTGGCCTTCCTCTTTTTCGCTTCCCTTCAGGATTCCAAGTTCGGGCTTGCCTCGTGATGCAGTTTGACGATTTGCGTAATGTATGTCCTATCCACTTCCATCGTCTTTTCCTAATTTCTTCTTCAGCTGGAAGTTGGTTTGTTCTCTCCCACAGAAGGCTGTTGCTGATGGTATCCAGCCAATGGATGTTGAGTATCTTGCGAAGACAGCTATTTATAAATACGTGTACCTCTTGATGGTGGTTGTTGTAGTTCTCCAAGTTTCAGCTCCATACAGTAGAACTGCCTTGACGTTGGTATTGAAGATTCTCACTTTGATATTGGTTGAAAGTTGTTTTGAGTTCCATATGTTCTTTAACTGTAGGAATGCTGTCCTTGCTTTGCCAATCCTTGCCTTTACGTCTGCATCTGAACCTCCTTGTTCATCGATGGTGCTTCCCAGGTATGTGAAGGATTCTACATCTTCCAGAGTTTCGCCATCAAGAGTGATTGGATTATTGTTTTCCGCTTTGAATTTGAGGACTTTGGTTTTCACTTTGTGTATTCTGAGGCCTACTGATGCAGAGACTGTTGCTACACTGGCTGTCTTCATCTGCATCTGTTTGTGTGTACGTGATAGGAGGGCTAGGGAAGCTTTATTAGTTTAATACTAGTGCATATTACTATGAACTACTTGTCGAAATCATTTCTAGATCTAAATAATTTCAATTTCTTAAATCTATTTTTGTAGATGATTAAAGATTTCTGTAAACCAAATAAACATGTATCATGAAGTCAATTTTTCAGTTCCTATACACATTAATCTCTCTCTCAGAATATATAACAGTACTCGATTGAATTTCTCGAAACAAGATTTCTCCATGTTTTCAAGTGTCTAAATTATAAGTTACCATTCAATAATCCCTAATTTCATATTATCTAGTCGTCGGTATTGATCTAATTTTATCGATCAAGTTACGATGTAGTAGTAATGATAACCAGTCATTAGAGTACTAATAATAAGCTATCGATATTACCTTCACATAAAATAGAGCGGTATATCTGGTAAACTGAAGGTTTAAGATATTGACTTTCTAGCCAATTTCTGAACTCCACAGGTCTTAAAATTTTGAATATCAAAATTGAACCAAAAGGAGAAAATATAAAAAGGCTTTACTTTTATATTTAGCGTATCTTAAAGAAATATAAGGTATTTTTATAGTGTCACAATCAACCTTGGGACTCTGGTTCATTCTAGAAAATATACTGAAATTGGAAGTAAGTTAGACACTTAATAAATCACATTAGCGAAACTCATAATGATTTGGTTTCTAGATATTCTTTAGAAGTTTCTGAGATTCACATACAAGATAAGCCGATACAAGTTTTTACTGAATAATAAATGAACCACTATAGTCTTGTTGGTTACCACTATACTTATTCAAATAACTATTCCTGAACTTTTCTGCATATGTGATTGACAACATTGTTATCACTGATCAATTAAGTGGACTACAATTTATCTACATACAAAAATGGTGACTAGTGAAATTTTCAGGTCAATGATGTATGTTTCCCGACGTACTAGAAAGTATTTGATCATTGAATATTGTTTAAGATGTTAACTATCCATTAAGTGGAATGTCAAGTCTCGTAAACAAACATATACTCAAGGATTCATTAAAGATTTCGAAGTAGCGATAAAATATAATGATATATATAGCATTTCCAAGATATCATAACTGTCAAGTTAATATTTACGGAAAGAATTAAATGTTATACTGTTTGAACATCTTGTAAGTGCCTAGAATTTCGTTGCTTTTATGTTAAATTTTACATATTTTACACAAGTATGTACTTCAAATTTGATAAATGTTTACAAAATAAAAAAATGTTTGGTTATTATTCTTTAACACACAACTTGTAAAGAAGTCTTATAATTGTTCATGGTTAAGTATAGAAGTCATCGTATTGGTAACTTATTAAATACACAGATTTATATCCATAGTGATATTATAAGTGGGATAGAAAATCATCAACCACCAACTTCAAATTTCTCAACGTTATCAACTCCAGTGTTAAGTTGTCACTATCAATAGATATCAGACAATTATAACGCTCATACATTCATAATGTCGAGTATTTCAAGATATGAATTAGTTGATGAAGGGTTGTAGCACCAATGGCAGTACATTTAAACAACTAATGATACAAAAACCGAAACCAGTATTCTAAATTCTCATATTCATTATCATCAAACATCCTCAATGTTCTATGTTTAGATTCTCAAGAATTCAGTGGAAAACCACTGGTTCCTTTGATCCTATCTCTCAAATTCACATTGATTTAACAGTTAGCCTCTCCGAACTATCTAAAATGAGACGAAGAGAGAGAGTAGATTTCAGATAAAGTAGACATGAATATGATATTTTAGCAGAAAACTAAGTTCAGTGAAAGTTTATATTCTGAATAGAATTGATGGTTTCGTGAACCAGTTAAAACTGCCTTTTCCTGATGAATCTACATACTCAAAATTGTTGCTTTGTTTACTGCACAATGGAAACGTCAGTAGGAGTAATCAATTAAATGTATATATTGTCTCCTAAATTGTGAAAGTTACACATTCATACATTCGTAGTATTATCAGATATTAATTCAAATATATTTGTTGTTTGAATCTTCCCATTAATGTTTAGGACTGCAATTGATCAATCTGTTTTGTGATATGTGCACATGTGAGGATTGTCATGATATTGCTAGTAGGCTACAATCATTTTAAGCAGAGACGAATGATGGCTATCTGTTGAATCCAGTACATTTTGTACATTTTGTCCTATCCGAGCTGCATCAGCTGGATGAAACTGCACTTCAGAGTTTGTTTACAATATCATCAGATAATTATGAACTTACTATGAACTCTGGAAATATAATGTCGTACATTCACAATTGATTGATCACTGGGTGGTGATCAATGTCATGCTTGTCTAGTCCTTATTAGTGTAGATCGAATGCTGTCGATCGTGTTGCAATGTGGCCACCAGTCTAGGTGACTCGACACTGCGGGCACTATGTATTGAGATTTAGATGGTGGTTGGAGGTAGTCAACAGGAAACCCTGTTGACTACCTCCAACCACCATCTAAATGTCGTACATTCTTTACATAATATTCACACCTCACTAATTTACAGAATGTTTCGGTTTTACAATACAAAAAATGAATGAACATCCTGCAATTTGTTGAATTTGATAAATCAGACATGAATTTCTGAAAAAAAACTAATGAATTGTTTTGTTGTTTAATGAACAAGTATCCAAGTTATATTTATTGAACTAATCTAGGAACTTATAAACATATGATTTAATTGAATTGGGTATTATCTTAAAAAAAATTCGGAAATATAAACATTAGATATATCAACTGACTTACAAGTTTATCATTAATAGTTAATATATAAATTATTAGTTGTCTGTTACATAGTAAGTTGTTTACAACGGTTAATGGTACCTCACATCTTCGTAAGTTGTTTCCAACTCATTTACTCTCTCTCTCTCTCTCTCGCTCTTTCTGTCTGTCTGTCTCCATCCGCGTTATTGTCTAATATGGCGTGATTCCTACTTAGTCAATTATAATATAAAAGCTTAAGCATGATAATTTTATTAGATATTAAATATTTATTGGTAAACTTATACTGTAATATGAAATTCATCTTAGTTTTAAGCTTATTAATCCTTGTCACATTAGTTTTTGCTGAGTAAGTTTTATTTATATAACTGTATAGTAATAATAATTAATTCTATTAGAGGAAAATTTAATTGTTTTAATGATATTAGTTTTATGTTGATCACGTTTAAGAAGTGAATTAGTTTAACAATAGTTTTTAGTATCCACTTCTTGTTAGAATTTGATGAATAATACATTTAGTTTTACTTCAGGTCTTATTATTCATCTTGTAGATTTAAACTGAATATTGAGGACGTAAATGTTTAATAAAAGTCTAAGTAGATCAATTTATTGCATAATTTGTGACATTTGAATGTGATAAAGTTGTTCGTTAAGGTAGTCACTATGAAGAGAATATTCATTCATCACATGGAAATGAGATCAAGCTTAAGATCTTCAGAGTTTGAACTTAATATTCACGTTCTCATCTGTATATAGTTTACTTAATATCTGAATTTCAGCCAATGTCAACAGTGATCACTGTCTTGTTCTCGACATGATTTCTAGCAGTGCATTGAAAATTCGTTTCAAAGTTGTCAGTAATTAACTCTTAGTTTATAATAACAGAAGTATGTGGAAACTGCGATTAATCAGTAATTTTATCAACATATTAGCAACTACTTTCATTTAGTCAAAGGTTTTTAAATATGAAGATTTACCATAGTTTCATAGAATCTCAAGGAAATCATTCACGTACATGCAAATAACCGATCAGATCGGGAAATTCAAGTAAAATAATGGCATTAATACTATGTGAGCAGAAATATAAAGTTTGAATAGATATATGTACGTTAACGTCTGAAACATGAATAAAGAACTACTTACAAATGTTATAGACTAATCGTTGAAATCGCAATTTCAAAATATGATTTCAAAACATTGTTGACTGTACTGTTGAGTTGCAACGTACAAATATCTATTTAGCTTAGAATGGTTCTTTATCAGCCGTTCAAATTATATTATTTTATGAATAATGTATGTAACGAAGATTTGAATTTCTATGTTAGTAACAATAATCACGTCTTATATATGGTTAAGTTGCTGACGAAGAAGAATATACATGTATTCAAAAGTCTGTGATTCTAATCACCTTGGTTACATGTTCAATACCGTTTCATAATAATAATAATCATAATAATAATAATAATAATAATAATAATAATAATGATTATTGATGACAGAGATAAAACAGTTAAACTTTAATATCTTTAAACTAACCTTAATCATAGAATCGATGATTGGTCTTTTATTGTTATTATTATTTGTTTTTTGACACCATTTTGAATTGTAAAATTCAAACGAATCATTCCAATGACTGAGTGATGATTTAAGTGAGATTACAAACTTTTTTCTAAACATTAAACTCATGTTGGGGACCAAAAAGTCGAGGAAATGTTTACAAGTAGATCTAAATTCTAAGCTAAAAGTATTGTTATCATTATAGAATGATATAAGGTAGAGAATGATTGAAGCATTAGGAACAATATATAGCCATATTCTTCCTGTTCTGAAACTTGTTAATAATTAACATAAACCAAATCAGATTGGATCGAGTTAAGGATCCTTAGGTTCAATGAATATTATTTTATCTCTACATCATTGAGTGAGCATTTTTAGCGCTTTCAAATTAAAAACAAAACACAGCATAACTCTTGATCAATGCCATCTGTGGAATCTGTCTCACTTTCAAAGTAAACATTTAATCTTGATTCTGTTTATTTCATCAACAACAACAAAAATAATCGGAAGTTTGCATAAATTAACCCATACACACTTCTTTTCTTTACTTATATTATTATCAGAGCAAAATCTGAAAAACGTAATGAATTTCTACTGGTAAGTGAATTGATTTATTTTCTTAAAAATTATTATAGCGAGAAATGCTATCAGATACTACTGATAAACTCAAAAGGTTAACATTGAAACACTTAGCAACATTTCGTAATAAACTCCATAATTATTTCAAAGAAGATGATTTAGGTGAGAAAATAGCAGAAGTTTTAGTTATTCGTAAGTTAAATAAATTAAAAAATTATTTATTTTTGTAATATTTTAGTGATTAAACGTTTGAATAGACGCTTGGAAAGTTGTTTAAAATCATCTAAGTTAGAAGAATGAAACTGATGAAAATGTTTTATCATTTGGGATGTATTTTAAAAAAAGAAAGAAAAAAACAACAAAAAAAGAAAAACAAAAAACAAAAAAAGAAACAATCATCAACATATATATATTTCTTCTTATTATAAACTAAAGTAGATTATCCATAATGAAGGAATTAACAGTTAGCAACAAAAAAACAGAACAATGTAGGAACTAATGATGAATCTTTTGTTATTCTTACTTGTATACAATTTAATATTTCAATATTATTATTTAAATCTTTAATAAAGAGCAATAATTTAGCTAAAGAATGTTATATAATTAAGAAATATACTACTAATAGTAGTTGATTTCATATTTTTATTTATAAACATATTTTTATATTGAAAATTAAGAATCATCTATTCAATAAATAAGCTATAATCAGTGGAGCTAATCTGTATTGGGTAGATACAGGTATCTATCTTAGTATAATGGATGATGTGAGGGCGATTTCGTGGATTAGTTGAAGTTAAACATTAACACCGTTGGATGCCAGCTCAATGGTCTAGAGGTTGAGTAGTCGAATTCCACGAGCGGGATCGTGGATACGCATTGATGAATTGTCTCACCATAGGACGAAATGACCATTCAGTGCTTCCAGGTTTGTAATGATGGTCTAACATCAATCGGTTCATCATCTTAATCAAAATAAATAGCAAACTGAATGAGTATATTGTGATTAATGAAAATATAACAGATAGTAGAATCTATAAAGTGTTGCATATTATGATATCAACCTTCTAGGGTAAAACATTAACCGAAAATTAACTAAGTATAAAATAATACAAAATTGTTTGCAAATATTATAAAGGATGGTTACATTTTTTTAGGATCACTGTACAAATACTTAGATGTTTTTAATAAAAATATCTTAACTAACAAAGTGATATTTAATGACGCTTGACAATCAAACATGAAAAAGATTAGTGTTATAGCTTCATTTCGACCAATAATCATCTTTGTTCAACAACAGTATTCTAATTTCAAATTTATTTCAGTTACTGAGATCTGCAATAATTTTAATATAAATTTGTAAGGGAATTTCAAACTTTCATCATTGTGTATCTATTCAAGTATTCATGTCTGAGCTCTGCTGAACCAAGATTGTAAATTGAAAGCACTTTGCTGATGATTGATTATTTTTTATCTACTATACCTTTAAACGATTATTCAAGGTTTCTCCGTTGAAATCAATTACATTCTCGTAGTGATTATGAAATATTTTAGACGTAGTAACTAAAATTCATTACCGACAACTAAGGTGATTGTCAGAGACATAAAAATCAACTTTGAATAGATAACTATACTTAGACTTTAATCTTTGTAGTTTATTGTAAGCTATCAAAGCATAATTGCCTTAGTGAATATCGTTTTCTAAATTCTATGATAATATAAACATTTTAAAATGTATCAGAATGACTTTTTTTTGGCGATTATTCAGATGTATATTAATTAACAGTATGAACTGAATTTAACGATAAAGCATCCTAAGATGAAACGGTTTTTCAGTATCTCTACCGGCATACATCTCGTGATGTCAACTTTTAATATTGTTTACTTCAAAATGTTGTCCGAATTCTAAAAAAAACAAGTGTGTACTGTCATTTTTCAGTTCAATAATTAAATTGTAGTACAATATGTTTGATATTTACAAGATTTAAGATAATTAAAACTAAGACACTGAAATAAGTTTACTGCATATCAGTAAAGGAATGTTAATATCTATGAGTTTGAATATGCTTAATAGGTATTTTTACGCTTAAAGTATGTAATTTAAATGTATGCTGGAATGAGTTTTGGACGGCATCACGGAGTCCAAGATTTATATCAGCTTTCCATTTACTTATCTAAATTCCCGTTTGGTAGTTGTTGTGTTTTTTTTTTTTCAAATAAAGAATATTTTTCACGGTTATTTGTAAATCCAAACGATGTTACGAACCAATAGTATTTATATTTTGCTGACATTTGATTCCGTATCAACTTCGAATCATACTTATAAGACTTTGGTTGGGTGTTTTATTCGACTTCTGTAATCTTTTCATTTGTCTGAAGATTCGTGCAAAATAGAGAATTTAATTAAAAAAAATTTTTTTTTAACCTTTTCCTTGTTTCACATAAAATGTTACCTCGACAAGTAAGTAAAGTGTATTACTTATCAAATCCACCTAAAACTTGAATGATTTAAGATGGGTTATTTCCTTACTTGTTTCCACTTGAAAAGGTTCAGGCTCATTTCTCTTTAGAATAAATAACAGAAAGTGACTTGTTCAAGAACAGTTTTCTAAGCGACCATTAAAATTAAAAAAAATATATACCTGGAGTTTTTTCATTCATATAAAAGGGTTTCTCACTAGTTTATGATACTGATTTCCTGATGAAACATGATATCAGTAAATCATTGGATGTAGATTACTGTCTGGAATCGTAATTTAGCATATTAATTATCCAATGTTATCAGTTAATATTCGTTTTCAGATAAGTTAACCTTGTTAGCTAATATTGAATATTTAAATTAAGTTATTTGTGAGGAAACCATGATAAATTAACAAGTATCGAATATTCTGGGCACTCTGATTCCATGTGCAGCCAGAAGAGAGATATCTTCCTGAAATTCAATGAGAATGTCTACAGATGACTAGAATTTTTCGATAATCAGTATCTGTTATTTAAAAGACACCGATGTTCTGAAGTTCAAACTCTTGATTTTTAATAAATATGTTCAGAGAGACTCCAGTAATACGCATGTATAACATACACAGATGATTGAAACCGTAGACTGCAGGTTTATTGACAAACATCAGGTGGTCTAACTAATTAGCCCGAATTCGATAGATCACATTTCCAACTTCAATCATTTATTTCAGGCGAGTTTCATTCAACACTATCAGTGAGTTACCGTTTCCCCCTCAACCTGATTAGCTTCATTGATGACAAGTTAACAATAGAAATTCGGGAAATCTGTTTTCAAGTTACACAATAATAACTACGTCAACTTGTTACCAGAATGTACCAACAAAATATATTTTCGTGTATTGAATAGCCGTAACCAATTTTAATAAAAATAGTCTTGAAGTATTCAAATTCTATAATTCCAAAATATTAATATTTGAATCTTTTATTAAAATTACAATCTTAACCTGGTCAAAGTTATTATTTTGTAGCAGAATCAGCTAGTCGAATTGATTCAGAAATTTAAGTTAGCATTGATTTGCTTTAACCATAGAGAACGTTTTACTGATGAAAAGATCCAAGATAATCTATAACAATTCTAGGAGAACTTAAAAAAAATACAAATACCACATTTTGATTAGGTGCACAGGGAAATCATTTTGTTTAGTAAACATCAAGCTATTTGACTTTGCTTGCAACACATTGTTAAAGATCTCAGATAAGTTAACTTGACTATAGCTATGGTTTGAGTAAACTGATCTGAGTAAATGACCAATCTATCGGATAAAAATTTCTCAATCCTAAACCTCATTTTTAAATATATGACGTGTAAGTTTGTGGGATGTCATTATTATTTTCATACTACTCTTGCAGCACTATGTGTAAAGAAACAATGATCAACATAGAATCATCCTCAGGTAAAAGCAATCTTACTAGTCTGATGTCTCATACTAAGTGAATTTCACTTCATAGATAATAAAGGATATTTGTAAATTAGTATTCACTCTGTCCAGTAAAAGCTACAATTTCACGTTAAATAGTTTGTTTACTGTAACTTTAAACAGAATGAGAGAATTACTTATCAAGTGTATTTGTATTAGGTGATTAAATCTTAATTCAATCGACTAGTCCCCTGGTGTATAAATTACTCCTCACAGATTTCGAATTCTATGCGGCTGGTTAGATATTTCAAAAATATACATAAAAACAGCCATAAGTGAGATAATTAGGGATTGATATAGGGAAAAACGAGGATTTATAATAAAGCATGAGAAAATGGAGCGTGAAATTAAATTGAGCACATTATTTCAGAAAGTTAAGTAACCTAACTATTTTAATTTCACAATATTGAACAAACATGTTGTTTGACTGGAATTTCCTTGAAAATTCAACCATCAGATGACAAGTCTCAAACTTGGATTCTCATAACATTTGATGATTTTAAAGAGTGCATCAGTTTAACCTTGATATTAAGGTCATTTATCATTATCTTCAGGTGAAACTAGCAGAGGTCTTTGATTAAAACATCCTGAATAAGTGTTTCAAATATGCAGAGATGACTAAATTTTATAATCAGAAACATTTTACTCGTAAATTGTTTGCTTCTTGAAGTCAACTTATATTTATAACCAAGAGTTTTCATGTGTGTACTTAACATTTCTAGTTCAAACTGAGATGTCAACTAACAGATGATAAACTAGAGTCAGTGTTACATATTTTGACATGCAAAACCGTATAAGGGAAAAACTGAGCTGTTGCAATCATCTCATTGATTATCTGACATTCCTAACTGTTTATTACGTTAAATATGGTAGTTTTATTATTAAATAATTCATATCTGATGTAGTATCTGAATTCATGTGGTCCTTTGATAAAAAGGTTTCTCATCTGTCGAACAGATGATAAAATATAGTCACCATTCAAATTATTTTTATTTCAATCTTACTACATGTGATCAGTTGATTACCTGATTCATTCTTCTAAGACGATCTGTTAAATGTTTCATTCCTCTGATTTCAAAGCGAACAGACACAAATGCTTTTAGTTAAAATATTCCATCAATCAAAAACATATAAATTTCGTTATTACTGATAATTTCAACTTTAACGTTGATAAAAGTATGTTTTACGCTTAAACGACTGTTCCGAAAATTTAATCAGTTTCCCTGTCCAAATACTTTGCACCGTAAAGAATAATTACATAGCAGATAGAAAAGACGTCTAATATCTCTACTCACACTCGGGTTTGTTAGGTAACTGACTATGAATTTTAATGATTATCATGGGGTGTGAAGAAATTTCAATGTAGTTGGTTGACAAACTTGGACTCGGACTAACAACCTAGTTAAGATTTTGATATCGTCTATCATTGTGATACTATTCACAATCAAGTGACTAAAACAAAAAAAACACGACTGGGATCATTACTTTAAATTAAATATCTGTAGTTTCCTCGTCGGAACCATCAAAAGGATGTCTATCCTTATTGGAATCTCAGATCCGTTACTGAGATAAACAATCGGAACCATTGACATAATCGTCTGACAAATTGTTAGCTTTCCTATCCTCAATTCAGGTACTTGGAGTTTTTCCTGGTAATTCTGCTTTCCTGATTAGCTTGGAGAGGGATGAAGGTCGCTGGATGAAACCCAGTTTGATCAAATACAGTCCGGTAGTAATGTTCATATTATTTTCGACACAATTACTTCATTGTTCAGTTACAAAAAGCATCTGAATCGAATAGTAGCATTGCTATAGTTTCGGTGGAAAAAATATACACATTCATATCAACCGGCATTAAAATCCTCTTAAGGTTCTTTGTGTCTCTGTAATTTACAAACATATACAATCTTTATATAAAGGACCGTATCTACTTACTAAGGATATCGAATATCCATGACGGTCAGTTAGAAAAGGAAGATGGGGAAAACTTTATTTGAGTTTATTTATTGAGATTTTTACAACAATCAGCATGATAATGAAACCTTATATCAATCCCTTACCAACTATTTCTATAGGTAAATTGCACCACGCAACCTAAAATTTTGCATCGTCTCACCGTATATAAAACTTGGTTTTCATTAACTGAGCATCATATTTAACTGGTAATAAAAACGAGCATTCCGTATTGTGCCACATTTATTGTCACGTATTCATTTCTACGGTAATTAGTTATAACAAACTAAAATGAGTATAAGTATAAATGTTCTAAACGGTAGTGTAATATCATTTGATGTTAATGAAAATCATTAAAAACTAATGTACCCTAGTGCTTCCATTGACTATTCTAAAAAACAATTGCGTGAAAGTCATGAAAATTCTGACTAATAGATAATGTTTATAATTGTTTTCCTATGTAAAATCTAAGTTATTTTAAAAGCAGTTACGACTGATGGTATAACACTTTGTTGACATGAACAGTAACGTATCTTGTACAAAATATATTTCAACAGTAAACCATGATTTCAACTATTGAAATTACTAAAATCTCCACAAAAACCCCTTCTGATAATAATCATCTGCTTACTAGTGAATGACTTCAAGATGCATTTTCTGGAGTCCTAATGAGAAGCAGTGACCACTGGAGTTCAACCAGGTCTGTTGTGAGATATTAGCTCACTGGAGACAATGGTGACGGGGGCGCGATTTCGTGGGATGGTTGAAGTTAGACATTGACACCACTGGATGCTGGCTCAGCGGTCTAATGGTTAAGCGCTCGCGCGCGAGACTAATAGGTCCTGTGTTCGAATGTCTCCGGAGGCGGTATCGTGGATGGGCACTGCTGAGGAGTCCCATACTGGGATGAAACAACCGTCCAGTGCTTACAGGTTTCCCAAAGTGGTCTAGCTTCAATTGACTCATGATCTTAACTATTGGAATTACTAAAATCTCCAGAAAGCCCCTCTTGATAATAAACCAATTCATTGATCTCATTACCACAAACACTTACCCATTTAGGAACAAATAAAGTATCATTCCACAAACTAATAAATCTGTTGAGAACTATTCGAAAATTAAGAGCATTATGCCTACATAACTGACTATCATAAACCTTATAAACACTTGAACTGTAGAAAACTCGCACTAAGGTATAAAGTAGTCGTTACAATAGAGATATATAACGATTAATAACGTGTGATAATGTCACCCTCGATTTAACAAGTTATAATTTTATAACATTCAGAAAGATAATAAAACATTATCGTAAAAATAAAACACACTCGGACGAAAACGACAACAAACATAAGACCATTTGATCCATAAGCATTCAATATAATAGTTGTTTATTAAAAAACTAAGAATTCATAATATATTCACTTGGAAATTAAATAAGTAAATCACTAATGTACACAATAAAAATACGGGACAGGTGACGCTTGAAGTATTAGAATAAATTAACATAGTTAACAGGTTGAATACATGAGTAAATATTCCAATTTCATTGCTAAATAATCAAATCGTTTCTCCATACGTCGACCAACTATGAAAATGCAATTAATAAATTATTACAACTTACTGATTTTGGCAACTTCAAGAAGTTTCTTATCTAAATCATCCTTTCTTGAGTAAGTATCATACGTTTTGAAAATTTTACCCATTCCATTCATCATTGCTTGTCGTAATGTACAGAAAACTGGTTTCTAAAATGACAGTGAATTATGAACATGGAAATCAAAGAGGTTACCATTCCACGCTCCAATTCGTATTCATTTACCTTCTCTTCATGAGGTACCACTGTATCACTGGAAATAAAGTGTTGAAAGTAAGCTTCTCGATTAAATTATTTCACCTATTAACATTCAGATACCAATACAATACATGTGAAATACAATTGACGACACATACGTTCAAATAAAATCTCATTACAAACCGACCATGTTTATTAGGAATACCACAGAACACATCACAGAAGTACTTTGATTAAACTCATTACCTCCATGCCTAATGCTAAATGGTGGTCATCTGTCTTCCTAAGTAGCAAATAGTCGTAACCAGCTCGTAATGTTGTGTGAGATTGAATCAACAACAGGATGTGTTTAAATGAACAGGGAAATTGACAAATATATCTTTAGGGAAACTGGAAGCCAAACCGCACCATATGATAACTGGATCACTATGGATGGGTAAGACTCAATACAGAAGAGCGAATGAAACAGAAAGAACTATTAGTGTTCAACTCACTTTATGTTTGCTGCGGAGATAAAGATACAGTATACCCAGACCAACAAAATGGCCAATTTCATTTTGCTTTACGAGAACGTGAATGTGATACAATTGGAAACGAATTGAAGTCCGAATTAAATAGGGATTTCATTGTGACCTTTCGTGTCCTCAGATATGGTATGTATGCACTTTTTATTGGCGCTTGTTCACAATCTGTTTAATAATAAACAATGATGACCTCACTCAACTAAACGTTAAACTAACGTAGAAAATCGTAATTTTATATTCTAACTTTCATAATGTCAGTAGTATTCATATGAAATACCCTTTTTTCAGATTATGGACAAATGCCAATATTAAACCACTTACGATGAAAAGTGCGTACATACCATATCTGAGGACACAAAAGGTCACCATGAAATCCCTATTTAATTCGGACTTCAATTCGTTTCCAATTGTATCACATTCACGTTCTCGTAAAGCAAAATGAAATTGGCCATTTTGTTGGTCTGGGTATACTGTATCTTTATCTCCGCAGCAAACATAAAGTGAGTTGAACACTAATAGTTCTTTCCGTTTCATTCGCTCTTCTGTATTGAGTTTTACCCATCCATAGTGATCCAGTTATCATATGGTGCGGTTTGGCTTCCAGTTTCCCTAAAGATATATTTGTCAATTTCCCTGTTCATTTAAACACATCCTGTTGTTGATTCAATCTCACACAACATTACGAGCTGGTTACGACTATTTGCTACTTAGGAAGACAGATGACCACCATTTAGCATTAGGCATGGAGGTAATGAGTTTAATCAAAGTACTTCTGTGATGTGTTCTGTGGTATTTCTTAATAAAAATGGTCGGTTTGTAATGAGATTTTATTTGAACGTATATGTCGTCAATTGTATTTCACATGTATTGTATTGGTATCTGAATGTTAATAGGTGAAATAATTTAATCGAGAAGCTTACTTTCAACACTTTATTTCCAGTGATACAGCGGTACCTCATGAAGAGAAGGTAAATGAATACGAATTGGAGCGTGGAATGGTAACCTCTTTGATTTCCATGTTCATAATTCACTGTCATTTTAGAAACCAGTTTTCTGTACATTACGACAAGCAATGATGAATGGAATGGGTAAAATTTTCAAAACGTATGATACTTACTCAAGAAAGGATGATTTAGATAAGAAACTTCTTGAAGTTGCCAAAATCAGTAAGTTGTAATAATTTATTAATTGCATTTTCATAGTTGGTCGACGTATGGAGAAACGATTTGATTATTTAGCAATGAAATTGAAAGAAATGTTGATATATGAAACTTCATAATCGTGTGATACTTTGTTCGTCTACTATTAGATTTAACATTTACCTTGTTTCATATGCAATGTGTGATTATTTTCCACATTTCTTATATTCATCCTTTTTCATTTGCATGTGAGCTGTGTAATATTAGCATTGGTTTATATAGCGCTTTCTGTTGAATTTTCAATAAATCTTATTGCTATGGCTCATGATAAAAAATACGAAAACATTATATTCAAGTCTCTTATTTTGTTACTGTTTTACTGAAACTGTTAAGGGGTAATTGCTTCAGTGTATACAGAAGTGTCAATGAGAATTCAAATCGAAAAATTCTATACATATAAACTTAATGCTAATTATATATTGTTGTATGGTTTGGCGTGAATACTTTAGAAATGTTTAGATCTTCGCAAAGATTATTGCATTTCATTGATAAAGTAGTTATTTCGAGTATCCGTTAACTACAGAATGTCAAAATCTTTTTTGCTTTGTACAATATTAGCAACTATAATTGATGAATTATAATGTGCTCGCGCGCGAAGGCAGTAGGTCCTAAGTTCGAATCCCGCTGGGTTCGGGATCGTGGACGCGCACTGTTGAGGAGTCCCATACTAGGACGGAACGGCCGTCCAGTGCTTCCAGGTTTTTCATGGTGGTCTAGCTTTAATTGACTCATGATTTCAACCTGTGAAATTTCTAAAAATCTCCACAAAACCCATTCTGATAATAACATATTTTGTAGATTTCTGTCTATATTTCAGACGGTTATCTTTGGACTACTATTGTTTTGGGGCAGATCAGTGATTGGAACTTATTACTGACTAAGATTAGGTATATTACAGTTAAAGCATTCGTAACAATGATATACCACTAATAGCCAGATATAATAAAGTATAAATACTTAACTCATCTATTAGAAAGTGAATATGATCCACAGTATTACAGAATTTATTTCATATTTCATACCGAAGTTAACTATTTGACATTTATAGTGATTGAGCTGATGATGAATAAGGGAACAGTATTGATTCATTATTATAAATGTAATAATGAAAATTGTTAACATGAGTTAGCTGATATCTAAAGATTAGTAATCTGAACTGAAAATAGTTTCAGTTAGATACCAGTTTGCTTACACTCTGTAGACTAGTGTAAAATGAGATTACTTTCAAGGTCATAAGAATCATCGGATTAATATGGGTAGAAATATCTTGAACATGAAAAAATAAACATATCCATGGAGAAGTGACATAATATGTATTAACGATGTTGATTTTTGTAGGAAGTTGAGTGTGTCATTTACATAATAAGTCATAACATTCTACTTGTTAAGACATATAATAAATATATTTCACGTTGTACTATGTTCTCTTAGCTAGAATGAACATTAATAAACACTCGAAGTGAAGGAAGTATTGTACATTTCTAATAATAACATATGTCGAACCATTTCATGATACTTTATCTTTTAAATCTGTTTACGTTTACATTCGTTGAACATTGGATTTATTAAATTATTGCTTATGTGAATGGTTTAGAGCACAGGGAATCAAGTGGATATGCGACATACTAGATCAATTGTTGTTCTTGTTTGAAAAATTCTTTCCTTTACGTTACAAATCACTATATAACTTATTCTTTATCAATTACAGTTGAATGACATCAGTGACCATATTATTTACTATCTAAAATTATGTATAGATACTTAATACCTTAATGAAAATTGGTAACCAACATATACTTACTTACTTACTTACTTACGCCTGTTACTCCTCGTGAAGGAGCATAGGCCGCTCACCATCATTCTCCATCCAACCCTGTCCTGGGCAATCCTTTCTAGCTCCGTCCAGTTGTAATTGATCGTTTTCATATCTGCTTCTATTATCCGACGCAATGAACCAACATATAGATTGTCTATAATTCACACAGAAAAATGAGAAAATCGACTACATTGACAATATCATAAGTAACTCTGATCTATGAAAGTTCTGTTGATTAGTTTATTGAGAATTAAAAATCCTGGCCACTTTTGAAAACATTTATTCTCCTTTTATGTATTCAGTATAAGAAAACTAGCAAAATTCATGAGGTTTAACCAGATTTTATTAATCCCTTTCTCTATAATGCTTAATATAATATTCACTTGATTGATGAATATGTCTACCAAAATGAGAAATATGCAGTTAGTTAGCTTAATTCTATGAAATGGTATTAATCTACAGTTAATACATAATGAATATAGATAATTTTAGCCGCTCACTCATGACTGAATCATGATTTAGGTATTGCCAATAAAATGTTTTATAAATCAATAAACGATATGTATTGCAGGTTCAACTAGGTTAAAACTCTGTTGATAAGAAAGAAACTTTTATCTTTGCATCTATAACATTCTTAGAAATAACTTCAAGGAATTAAATGGGCGAGACACTAACTTATGGACGACCTTTGAACGAATCTTAAGCGACCTTGGAAAATATTAAGCCATAAGCAAACAGTCAGTATAGAGTAAAAATGTGTTATACAAAACCAAGGAAATAAAGTAGATAAACTTATACGTAGTTCAAAAACTTGTCAACTTTAGAAAAATGTTCAGAGGTTCTAAAATCGTAATGCATGCAGTAGAGGAAATCATCCATATGGCTACAGAATAGTCGGCCTCTGGATCCATGATAAAGTCTCAAAAGCTCTTTCAGCCCAGACTACATAGCCTTAATATTGCTTGTGTGCACTCCGGTTGTTGAGTGCACAAAATGCTACTTGTGGATAACGACACGATGCACATAACCAAGCCTATGTAGGAGTCTGTACGCTCTCCAAACATCCTTATATATTGTAGTATCTGGCTGCGGCCAGTGTCACGGATGCTTTTATTATCCAGTTCGTAATTTGCCTTAGTTAGGAATTATATATGGGGTTTTCATTACGAACATCAACTATAATGCCAAAAATTTATTTAGCCAAGTGGATGAAAGGCTTTCGCGTTAAAATCCGAGATCTGTTATCATATACTTCATTGATTCGTCCATAAATTATAGTCCCGCCGTTTTATTTGTTATAGCCGCTCAATTATCGCGTTTTGTACAAAATGTTCTGTGAACCGATTGTACGTTAGCATTAAGCACTGAAGTTGGCGCCATGACTTTGAAATTCCTAAAACGCCTCTGATTGTCTCGTCCATAAATTAAAGTCTCGCCATTAAGTGAATAGCACTATAAATCTGATTTATAGAACATATACAAACGTCTGTTTATTCTGCAGCGGTGACGTATCATTCTTTTATAATTCATAAGTATTAAAAGACTTTAAATGGTTTTCTTTTTGAGTTTTTAATTTAAAATAAATCGCTAAAACTTGTTAAAATTAGCTTATCTAACTGTTCATTGTGTTTTCAGTTCTTTGTTGACTGAATTAACAACAGATGTACTAGTTCTCATTTCCATTCTGATAAATTGTATATCGTCTCGAAGTATGAGTTAGAGATAAGTTTTAGTATTGGTATTAATAGTAATATCAGTATTTGGAAAAGTATGAAAACCATACATTAAATAATTGATTTGCAAATCATTCATCAATTATCTCAAACTTGATCAGTCATTCATTGCCATTACAATTACTCTCTGTTTCCATTCTTTTCAATTCAACCTTCTCAAACTTCTGCTACCAGGCATTTCACTTCTGAGTGATGTTATATATTACTTGTATCCGTCGACATAAGTAGCATACACCACAGAAGTAGTGCTTCTGAATACTTAGGAGCCTAATCCACACATGTTACCGTGAATATCAATATAACCAGCACTCGAGTTCACCTAAAACTATTTCTAGTAAAAGAAATCAGTTAATTTGAGGTCGTAAAAGTCTATTCTTCATTACTTCGTTTTCGTTAATTATAAAAGAGAAAGATTCATTTTGAAAGCGATTTATTTAATGCTATAACTTTGACACGGCAGCTGATTAGAGGGGAGCGAATTATCGATGGGACCAAAGACGCGCAAACACGTAGAACGACCTAGGGTTCTGATTGGCCCCGCTTCCCTGTTTAGCCCAGCAATTGAGTCCAGAACGAAAGTCACAGTTTATTTGTGATCTGTTAAGTTTGTTAGTCAGATGCTTTCGTATGATTTATAAACTGTTGTCATGTCTTTTCCCATTCTCAAATTACTAAAAATGTATTATAAGCCTAATATTCTGATTTGTATCCTAAATGCGCTAACTTGGCATATATTGTAATTTCGTATTTATCAGACATTGTGGTCCTGTAATTCACGAATCTCATTATATGAATTTTTGAATCAATTATACAGAAGTTAGATCAACCGTTTTATTCTTGTCTTATGATCGCGGTTTTGGACAAGAAATCTGTGTAGGCTAATAATCTTGTAATGGCATATCATTTATTTGAGGGATTAGGATTATTGATTCAAGTATAGCAAACCACAAGGTCATATCAAATTATTAGTATCTTTTTATTGAATTATTAATATTTTTCACTATTAACTTGATAATTAAAAAGAACTTCCGCTTTTGAGTAAGTTCATAACTCCAAGGACAGGAATTCAGTTAGCGATGGACACTTTGTGAAAAGACTCATTGCATTTATATTTAGATATATTTACAATTGACTATTCATTGTGTAGTGACCAATCTCATGTGTGTCATTTTAATCTTAGTATCGATCGAATTCTATTGATCATGCTGCAATCAGACCACTAGTTTTAGTGACTCGACATTATAATTGATCCAGCTTCACAATTAGAAACACGGAATCCCATCTACCAGGGAGAATCCGTTCCAGAAACATCTTACTGACGAGTGCCGAAAAGCGCGAAACTGAGATCCAGGTTTTCCTGTCGACTACCTTTAACTATCAGCTTACAAGTTTAGTTATATTACAAAATGAAGCAAGATATAATTGCGAAGCTAACATATAGTTTCATCATTAAACCTAGATGATATTTTTACAACTTTTACTTACTGATTTGGAATACAATTAATGCCTACTTATTCTAACTACTTGGTGTTCAATTTCTTTATGAAACCACTTACATAAATCATGGTGATTGTTTGTAAAAAAAAAAGACAACCCATAACTATTTTAATATTTTACTATCAAAACTTAAGTTATTTGATCTCGGTTAATTGATTGAGATAAATAAGTGACATTCCATTCATAAAACGATAATTATTAAATTAGTTGAAAATTCATGATACTGATTTAGTTGCCATCACTCATTTATGCAATCATTAATGCATTCCGTCAATTATCTGAGTCAATGTAATTGACTTAATATTTGATTAATATGTTATTTTCAAGTTTAGTAACTTATAAGAATTCATAAATTTAAGTTTAACAATTGACTTGAACTATAACAGTAATTGACGTTTACTGTGGTCATTAAGAAGGTTCAACTTGATAATTTCACATAAATTAAGTATTGAATAGATTGCTTACAATAAATGTTATGATGTATTCATGATATCCCAAAGGTTAGAAAATAAAATCTCTGACGTATCATGATTAAGTGTAAGCCACTTTTTATGGTAAATAACAATTTAGTATCTAATTGAAATCATGAACCGATTGACGTTAGACCACCATTATAAATCTGGAAGCACTGGACGGCCGTTTCGTCCTATTGTGGGGCTCCTCAGCAATGTGCATCCATGATTCTGCTCGCGGGATTCGAACCTAGGGTCTTCGGCCTCGCGTGCGAACGCTCATACTATTGGACCACTGAGCCAGAATCCATTGGTGTTAATGTCTAACCTCAACCAATCCACGAAATCGCGTGACCATCTTCCATTGTACTGAGGTAGATACATTAGACATGCCGAACAAGTTAGTGGTTATCTGGATACAGTAATTCAGATGACAACCTGTTGAAAGTTTTAAAAGCAAGTTAATGAGTTATAGTCTTGATATAAATATTACACTTGGATGAAGGCACATCCACATAAATAGTCCCAAATTGGACAAAGCATCCATCCTGGATTTCATTCCTATTCATAGTCTATCTGTCCCAGATAACTAGTAATATATTTGTCTTTTCATGGTGATCCTCACTAGACACATACATTCCAACCACTATTGGTCAAAATTCAGTCCCCAATACTAGCAAAAGGATAAATCAGACCCTTCTTATAATACATCACTGTTCTTGGACAATTAAAGTAAAATAAACTAGAGTATGTAAACTTTGATGATATCTTTGTACGTTTTCTTCAAGAGATTCAGAAAAAAAGTTTTGAAAATATACAAACTGTTGTTATACATATAGTTTCTATAATCAAAGAGCTTTTTAATTCTGAGCTTATTGCACTCAAGCAATAAATGTTTATTTTCCTTATGAATTTGAATAATCTTAATTCTAATGAAGAAATTTACTTTTACACTGAAACAGTTGTAATGTTCACAAGTTTTAGTTTTGGATGCTAATTAAATCGAAACAGAAATCTACTATTTATCTATTGATCTTCTGAATGGATTTTCAACATTTGCTAAAATGAAATACCTTGGAAAAACCTGGACCACACTGCTGTACGAAACGTTGAACTTAGTTAAAGTTCAATGATTGAAATTTAAAAAAATGAAATTATCAGCTTTCAGGTTTTACAATAACTTGGTGCCCAACTACTATTGTGGTGTGTGCTACTTAGATTGACATAATTAGTATATAATGTTAGTCGTGAACAGGCCTGGCAGCAGAGAGACATGAGGATCGGACAGTTAAGAATGGAAACAGGATGCAATTTGCATGAAAATGCAAGAACAATGAAGTCTGAGTCATTTTGAGAAAATTGGTGGACATTTTGCAAATTACGTATTTACTTTAGGATTGTTAGATTTTATTAACAAGTTCTGTAATGTTGCTTTCCATTGTGTAGCAAACAAAGCAACAATTTTGAGTACGTAGATTCATCACGAAAAGGCAGTTTTAACTGGTTCACTGAACCATCAATTCTATTCAGAATATAAACTTTCACTGAACTTAGTTTTCTGCTAAAATATCATATTCATGTCTACTTTATCTGAAATCTACTCTCTCCCGCTCGCTTGCTCTTTCTTCGTATTTTTTTAGATAGTTCGGAGAGGCTAACTGTTAAATCAATGTGAATTTGAGAGATATGATCAAAGGAACCAGTAGTATTCTACTGCATTCTTCAGAATCTAAACATAGAACATTGAGGATGTTTGATGATAATGAATATGTGAATTTAGAATACTGGTTTCGGTTTTTATATCATTAGTTGTTTAAATGTACTGCCATTGGTGCTACAACCCTTCATCAACTAATTCATTATCTTGAAATACTCGACATTATGAATGTATGAGAGTTATAATTGTCTGATATCTATTGATAGTGACAAGTTAACACTGGAGTTGATAACGTTGAGAAATTTGAAGTTGGTGGTTGATGAATTTCTATCCCACTTATAATATCACTATGGTTATCAATCTGTGTATTTGATAAGTTACGAATAAGATAACTTTTATATCTTACCATATTTTTCCCAAAATATTCGAAAATACATGCATAAATGTTTTTATTCTTTCTTGTGTCCTTTAGTACATAAAAGTCTACATTTTTTAAAATACAGTCACTAATGAAGTTAACGCATTAGTTTAAACAAATATAAATAATAATAGTGATGAAATGTAAACAATCAAACAGTTTGGATGTGATAAGGTCATATCCTCAAATAATAGTTTGAAATTCCACAACTATACCATAGTTACAGATAAATGTACCAGAACTATGATTATTTGTGGACAAGTATTAGTAAATGAATTTGAAAAAAAATGAAGGATAAATTTATGATTTGAATGAAATAAAGGACAACATTATTATATAACCACTATATAATACAACATTTTAATGATATTTAAGCCATATTATAATCTCATTCTCTCTAGTTAAGATGAAGTTTATTATGTTACTATGCGTAATTTTTGTGTTACTGACTTATTCAACATTCATAAGGTGAGTTAATAGTTATCAAGTTTGTGTTAATAATGTAATAAATATAATAATAATAATCTACCTACCGATTATTTGTTTACTCTGATGAAGTAGCCTAAATTAAGTTACAAAACGTTAATGCTACAATTTTCCTACCGACTGGAATATAAAAAAGCATATTTATTATTAACTCTTTACTCAATGCTCAATTTATTTAAAATTATAAAGTCTAACTTTGATATTGATACGTATTAAAAATAATATAATTGTTGTTATGGTAGGTATTCAATATGATGCTTAAACTTCGTATACAGTTCGTCCTGATAATGGTCACTAGATAACACCCCAACGGTGTATTAATCAGAAGGCGAATACGAAGTGTTGATCATGTTTATTATTACTCCACGTACAGATCACCAAAATTACAGATGCTCTAAGCAAGAATGAAAGAGTAGTGCCAAAAAGCAATCGGACAAGTGAGCGAGTGAGTCGAATTAGCGAGAGTGAACAGGATTAGTATATATATATATATATATATATATATATATATATATATATATATATATATATATATATATATATATATATACATGGTGGGATAAATAAATCATCGAATCAATTCAGCGACTAATAGTAAGGCTAGCAGAATGAATATATGCGTAGGCACTAAGTAATGGTCAAGCATACATATTCATACAAGTTCAACAATAAGAAAGTTACAATGGTATAGATAAGTTGTTATTGTACGAATAACTCTGTCCGATGAATAAATTAACAAAAGGGCTTAACCAAATTAAATGTGAACAAACTCAACTGCTCATGAGCTACTATATTATCACTGATAATAGCATTTATGTGTGACTTCTTTCATACACCGATAGAGATTTCAGTAAAATATTTTATAACAAAGCTGAATTCAAAAAGATTCTTCATAATATTGAAAATCGGTAATGATACACAATACTTTTATGGACTGTCAGTAAATAGATTAACAAAAGGAATGCTTACATAAGTGATATTACCCAACTTACGAAACAGTTCTAGGGAAAAGTAGTGACCAGTGGAGTTCAACCAGGTCTGTTGTGAGATAGTAACTCACTGAAGACAATGGTGAATGTGTCACTCAATTTTGTGGATTAGTTGAACTTGGACATTAACACCATTGGATGCCAGTTTAGTGGTCTATTGGTTAAGTGCTCGCGCGTGAAAGCAGTAGATCCTGGGTTCGAGTCTCGCAGGGGGCGAGGTCGTGGATGCGCACTGCTGAGGAGTCCCACAGTAGGACGAAACGGCCGTCCAGTGCTCCTTGGTTTCCCATGGTGGTCTAGCTTCAACTGAGTCATGATCGTAACCATTGAAACAGTAATTATCAATTGAAAAAATGTACTTACTGTAATGTTTATTCCATTATTATGTTCTTTTATTTATATTCAATACAATTCATTTTAATGTAATCACTTTCTTATAAATTGTTGTATCCATAACTATGACTAGCTCAAAATCACTGTCATAATGTGTGTTTAATTGAAAAGAAAGTAAACATATAACAAACAATTAGCACACTATCGTGTTTAACAACAAGGAATAAATAGAATTTTAGAATTTTTCAAAAAACTTACTATTAAAATAATGTAAATTATAAATTAACAATTTTCATTATCAAAAGGGGTTTTGTGTATATTGTAGTAATTTTAATAGTTTAGGTAATGAGTCAATTAAAGCTAGACCATCATGGAAAATCTGGAAGCACTGAAAAGTCCCACAATAGGCGGAAACAGCCGTCCAATGCTTTCAGGTTTTTTTTATAGTGGTCTAGCTTCAATTAAATCATCATCTCAACTATTCAGTTTAATAATTCTATAATAACTATTTAATTTTCTATTAGCAATTAAGTAGTCTGTATATATAATTGAAACTTTATTTTATATGCAGTTATCGAATACTCGTGTTTATCTAATTACTTGCTTATATGTAACAAATATCAATATATTCTGTATGAAGATGAAATTATGTACAGAATTTTCATTGACTACTTTAAGATTGAAAATAATATATGTGTGTATTATGACTTATTCACAATCAAAAGGATTTCATTGTATATTTTAGTAAAGCACACCATGCTGAAGAAGAGGATGATGAAGACATGGATCACTCAAAAAACAAGGAAGAAGATAAAGATGAAAACGAAAATGAGCATGAAGATGAAACTGAAGAGAAAAACGAGAATGATGATAAAACTAAAGCAAAGAATGAAACAGAACATGAAAGTGTAGGGGAAAAGCATAAAGTCAAAGAGAAAAAGAAGAATAAGGATAAAGATAAAATAAAAAGTGAGAATGAAGATGAGAATGTGATTGATGAAAATGTCGACTCAAAACATGGAATGGTAGGGGAAAAGCATAAGGTCAAAGGGAAAAAGGAGAATAAGGACAAAAATAAAACGAAAAGTGAAAATGAAGATGAGAATTTAAGTGATGAAAATGTCGACTCAAAACATGGAATGGTAATTACTTTCTTCTACATAAATATAATTATTAATTCCATGTTACATGTAAGAAAGCAATATATAAAGTTCTAAAGAAATCCTTTAAAAATGGACGTATGAAAATGTACAAAACATTCGATACTTATTTGAGAAAAGATGATTTAGACAAGAAAATGCTTGAAGTTGCTAAAATTCGTAAGTTATGGTTTATATATAAAATAAATATGATCAATTCATGTATTTTTTTTTATAGTTAGCAAACGTATTGAAAAACGAGCGGATTATCTAGCACTAAAATTGAATGAAATGTTAGCATATGAAACATCATAGCAACATAAAGTTTCATTGTCTTATTAATTGAATACATATATATCTTTGCATTCAACAAACTGGAAAGCATTACAGGATACATAAATGTTTTACTGATCTTACAAATATATCATCATTACTACTACTACTACTACTACTACTACTACTACTACTAATATTAATAATAATAATAATAATAATAATAATAATAATAATAATAATAATTGTAATTTATAAACTGATTGATAGATATTCTTATTTAACAGATGAATTGGGAATCATTCTAATTCATGACTGTTATTGATGTAATGTTATTAAAGATTATTTTCATTATATATTTATTTTATCTAAAAGATAGTTCTTGATTACTCAATTAACTATATCCATATAAGATAAATAATTGAAATAAGCCTATATGTGACAAATTAAATATAACTGTAATACAATATTAGATATGATTCTTTATGCCAATGAATAAAGGAGTTTAAAAATATAGTTTAGTATAATTTCTGTAAAGATGAAAGTGAAATACTATTGATATTGTAATTTTACCTCATATGTGAATTGCGATTCATGACTGTAAAAAATGTTAAGTTGAATAATCAGTTATAACGTTCAGCAATCACGTCACTTTATCAAAAAAGGATGATTATATGCATATATATATATATATATATATATATATACGTTAACATCTTTAGGCGTTTACATATATTAACTGTTCATATGATATTGCAAACTCATTTATTTGAATGATTAGAATCCAGTTATCTATAGTAGCTTACCAATTAATTGATTATGTCATAAGAATTTTAACGGAAGTATCGTTAATCATCGACTGAGTATACTATAAATCTCTGTACATTAGTTTGAATGAATTTCATTTACTTGAGTACTCATATTTTAGTCTGTTATATCGTTCTTTAGTGCTTAAATTAATAGTTAAAGACGGGTGTTGGTTTCTGTAAACTATACATAGTGATGTTCAGATGGGTTTATTCTTAATTCTGTAACTATTTCATTTTAAATATCATTTGTTGATTATGTACAACCGTCTTTGCTGTGTTTGACTTTGTTTTTTATTGATAAATCCACAGCAGTGAAAATTCTAACAGTTTGGTAGTAAATACTAGTAGAGTTAAGTCCATTGGAATTCACACACGTAATGAAACACAATTCTTATCCAACGTATATGAAGTAATGGAAACCATTGCAATAATAGAAGTACCTCAAATTCTTCTGAGACATAAATCAAAATTGTCGTAAGAATAAGTTGTATTGTGCGTTCATCTTTTCAAGAAAAGTTTAAGTCAGGAGGATGTTAATATAACCTTTCATATATTATTTAAATAGTTTCATACTTTATCTAAATATTAAGAAATTAATTTATTTGCATCAGTTGCTTGAACCTCCTCATTGATGCTGACAACTGAAATTGACCAGTTTCTTTCGCACAAACTAATGGCTATTTGGACTCAGTAGCTAAGTCGATAACGCGAACGGTACTGAGTACTAATTCCAGGGTGGACATCAACTCAGGGATGCAGTTGTATCCACCCGACAAGTCCCGAATAAGACAGAACACACATCCTGGATTTCATTACTAGCTACCATCTGTCTCTTCTTATCATTAAATGAAGAAAACGGTTCACTAGGAAAGTACAATAAGACAGATGGCTTCATTATCATAGTGATGAAAAGATGATTTCATTGATTGTACAGTTTTTATTTATAAAAACAAATGGTTCTAAAAAACCATATAATACGAAGATTTAATGAAATATATAAAAAAATTCTTAACATAATTATAATTATCAAGGACTTGTTAAGTTAAATGGCTTGGAAACTATTCACTATCATTTTGTCACGAACTAATTTCAGCTAATAAATCATTGGACACTGAATCGACACAGCTCCTTAAATCGTAACTTTTCTTTTATGGACTGTAGCTAGAACTAAGAAATTTTATCTTTTGAAATCATGTATGGCATATTTTGAACAGCTACATAAAATGCAGTAGTTATTAAGTTTAATTTCAGCCAGTTTGTGGAATAGCAATAATCTCATCTCATAATGTCGATACTTTACTATCTTAGTGCCAATCTGGTGTGATACTGATGTCGACAGGTATAAGTAGTACGTATCATCAATCGAAAGTGCATTACATGGCAGCAGAAGGTTAAGGAGATCGAAGAAATGAGAATGATAATAAAGCGTAATTGCTGTGGAATCGAAAAAACAATGATGTCCGGGACGATTGATTGACATTTGCAGAAGGAACCGTCAAGTTTGAGACGACCGATTTACATTTTTCGAATAAAGTATTTATTGTATGGTTCTCAGATTTTACTAAGATGTTATGTAATTTTGTAATCATAAACATTCGATTGTCCCCATTTGTGTTCTCGTTCACTACACTAACCTAAACGACTACAACGGTCATGAAATCCCGTTAGAATATAGTAACTAAAGAGCTTAGTTATTGGATCAGCCTAGATCCCTGTGACAAGTATGAATAACAATAATAATAAACATTTTGTATACCATATATTTGATACAGTGAGAAATTCCAAACATTAAATGTTACTATGAACATCTCACAACTTCCATTTTCATCGTAGAGGATAGATAGCATTCAAGAGTTATTAAAGGAGGTATATAAACTGTATGAATCTATAAGACTTCATCAGGATGTTCAATGACTTATCGTGTTTAAGTAAAATTTGACAATTTGGTATTTAGAGATAGTAAAGCCATGACTATTCAAAGGATGTTATCGCTTAATGTTTGCTAAGAACTCATCCATCCAAAATGATATATATATATATATATATATATATATATATATATATATATATATATATATATATATATATATATATATATTCACCTAGAACGTTTAATAAGCACTCGGGCAGCATCCCAACCCTCACACAAATCGAATGATTTATGTGGCACATATATGTTTAGTGCCTCCCTGTACCAATGTTTATGTGTTTAAATAAATAAAATAAACATCGCTACTATTATTCTTTCCATTATTTTTGGGGAATAATTTCTATATACTTTTAAGAATAGTCGTAAAATGAAAGTATTCAAACATATTGTACATACACACGTTGCGAAAAGCGGACTACTACTTAGAGAAAATAACAAAACGTTTAGTGAACTTACTAGCTAAAACGAATTATACAAATGATGTAAAATCAAGAGTTTTAGTAAACTTATGTAAACATGTAATGAAGTTAGGTTCAATTTTTCACATAATATCATACTACTTAACATGTAAACCATATACTAGAAACTTGGTTTTATTAGTATGAAAACACTAGCATGTTTGTAACATTTTCACCACCTATGTACTATATGTGGTACATTTTGTCGGCTTTTACATTTACACACTTATTCTTGATTCTCCTAGTGATATACCAATCAGTTTTACCATTAGATCAATAAAGAATTTCAGAACATTAGTACGCTGTTGACTCAGAATAAGAAGAGAAACTATTCAGTTAAATAACAAGTCAAATTGAACTGATAATTAACAACTGAGAATAATATCACCATTTGGTATTAATTCAGGAGAATAGGATTTTCTCACTTATTTGTTGTTTGAAGAAATATTTAAACAGATTCATCAAATTTTAAATAATATTTTCAGTTATTTGGTGTTGTTATATATTTGTTGAATGTTCTCTAGAACCTCTTCAATTGTAGAACTATATTCACATATTTTATTGTTGACTTTACAAATCAAATACTCATGTTTAATGATTAATTTAGGGAAATAATTACTGAAAGAACAATCTGTAGAATCAGTTTCTTAACTATGATCATAGTTTGTGGTTTTATTTAGTTTATTTAATTGTTTCCTCTTTATTTCATTTCCCCCATCCTCACTGTGTTTATAAAACTATCGTAAATTACTGTGATTTCCTATTCCTATTATTATTCTTACAACAAAGATTAATTCTAGTCACGTTTTCTTCATTACCATTATCACTTTTTCATTCCCATTTAACTATTTAACTTTTGTTAGGGACGTTAGATCCCCAGAACTCACTTGGGAAAAGACCTCATTTTGTAATTTTATTTAGAAAATTTGAATTTCTTTGTTTTCGCACCAAAGGCGCTCTTGTCATCTTCATGTCGTGTTTCCCACTGGGAAATATCTTAAATGCTATTGATCCGTTGCGTCTTTTAGTACGCCATTTGATAACTTTCCCCAAGGACGGTTCTGTACTGTATATATGCGTTTTGAATTGTGTTTGTTGTTATCGCTCGTTTCTGACTGTTTTGCTGAATATACTTCCCCATTCCAAGTTTGGACTTCTCCCTCTAGTTAGCGGGGCTGGGACGCATCAATAGCTGGCTTATTGGTCTTTGATCACCGAGTCTTGTTCTCGTTCGCAGACTAAGTGAACTCGTGATAGTTCCAACCCTAGTAACTTTTCACCTATTTGTTGTACATTTTCCATGTTTCGTAAACTTACTACTTCAATTACTATTTGTTTATTTTAAATGGTGTTGTGAAATTTCATGTAACAACTCATAGGATTCTAATGGACAATTTAGTGGATTGTTGGAAGTTAGACACTAGCACCACTGGGTGGTGGCTCAGTGGTCTAGAGGTTAAGCTCTCGCGCGTGGGACGAATAGGTCCTGAGTTCGAATACCGCGTGGTGGGGTCGTGGGTATGCACTACTGGGGAGTCCCACAATGGGACGGAACAGCCGTCCAGTGTTTCTCATGTTTTCCATGGAAATTGACTCATGAACTCCACTATTAAATCTATTTGTTTATTGAATCATGATTTATTTCGCATATAAGTGACTGTGCAACTTTGAAAATGAACTTGGTAAAAATTGTTTTGTGACGTTGATTTTCACTCCGGGACTCGAACTCAGTACCATCCGCTTCAAACGCCATCGCGTTATTGACTTTTCTAATGTGACCTGATAGTCCCAAACGGGACGAAACGCGCGTCCTGGGTTCCACTACTGGCCACTAGCCATCTAACCTAGTGTCTAGTTTGATGTACAATGCATTTAAAAGTCATTTAATTCATTTTTCAAGTCAGGAATGAAATAAATGAATGCATCAACTTACAGATATTGTCAACTTCCAACATTTTCACTTTTAAATCTCCTTTTCTGACATATTTATCAAGAATTTATACTAGTAACTTTATTGGTCGGATAAATTGGAAAATTCATTATTTACGAAATCTGAGATAATATTTGTTTCGAGTTTAATATTTTCAGGAGTTGATGAGCAATACTCTGTATGGAAACAGAGACTATGAAAATACTAAACAAAATGTAACCTATTTATGGTCGGAACTATCTAGAAAAGTCAGAGAATATAAAATGATAGGGGATTTAAACTTTAAAAAGTAATTATTGTTGAAAGTTAGAGAATGTTTAGGACTTCTTTGTATGCACAAAACATACTCAATGATCACTAAACTAGTGGCTCGAAGATGATACAAACGGAACGTTTAAGACTGATATATCGAAACTGTGAGAGTCATAGTGAAGAAGCTGTAACCATCAGGGTCAAGTAGTTCGATTTTCATCATGAACTTAACAGTTATCTTTGAAAATTTCACAAGTAATTTTAAATTTTCATCCTAGATTTTCCTGAAACATTTTTATCCGATGTTGTGCTCAGTGAACTTGAGTAAACTTCTAGTTTATCCCGGCTCTGTACTATGAGAACGATTTTTCGATTCTTTAAATATGGTGATTCAAACAGTCTTAATGGTCGATTAAGTAGGAGTTTATTAATTTCCCTATTGACAGTGGTTTCCTAAGCACTGACATTTGGATGGAATTTATCAAACACTTCGTTTGCAACGTGAGCATAATTTTTTCCGATTATTTTCATCCAGCTCTATACTTTGATTCATTTAATCCTAATTAAATACTATTGAATTCGATCATTCTACATATCAAAAATAGCCTATTCGCTAACTTCAACTTATTGCGGCTAAGTATATAAATGTTTTGATTAAATTGTCAAACTTACTGCTTCTTTCCTTGAAAAATTTGTATCTGGGGAAAAATTCCTAGTTTGCCATCTATGCATCACAAGGCGTAACAGGCGCAGATAAGTAGGTAAGCAATTAGAATTGGTACTTACATTCGATCAAAACCATTCTTGCCATTTGAACAACAAAAGCTTCTTATTGGATCCGATATGTGTATATGACTAGGGATAAATATACTAAATATGTTCAACTTGGTTATAAACTATTCTATTTGCTGTGACGCAGCAACTTAAGCCTCTTGCATTAAATCTACGAAGCCACGATATCGTCAATCTAGACGTTTAAAACGTCTCTCTGTTCCCCAAAACGTTTTAGACAGTTGCGGTCTGGTCTAGTAGATCTGGTATAACTCAAAGATCTTAGCTTTATTAACTTAATGTCACTTTCCAATTATTTTCAGGAATCTAAGTGTTTATAAGCTCTTTTGCTTTTTCTTAATTGATAAGGAGACACACTTGTATTACATGAACCATACAATAAGCATGTAAATTAGAGTTGCAAAAAAATCTACATCTTTCTACGTATTTAATATCTCTGTAAACCTCGTCCCTCAAAAACGTATCCGGCTGGGAAGAATGAAAGTTTGTGGGGCTAATTATTCTGATGTATTGCATTTCCTATTTTGTATTCAATATTATCTTTATCAATAGTCTCCGTGTTTTACCGCAAGTGCACATAACACAAAATAAAGCGTTTTGATTAATTTTTATTATTTGCTCAAATTCGTTAAGAAAGTGGTAAACAAAAAGCAGGAAAAACAATTTCTGAAATCCACAACATTACTAACCATCGTGTTATGAAATATACCTAAGATGATTCATAGTCCATCATCTTATCGAGTTGCATCGATATGTATTTCATACGTCTTTCAATGCGTTTTCCAACTAAGAAAGATAATAGATGTGTACGTAAACTTACGGATTTTGGAAACTTCTAACATTTTTAAGCCTAAATCATCCTTCCTTATATATTTATCAATAACTTTATATATGTGGTGTCGCCCTTTTTGGAAGGATTTTTTTAGTTCGTTGCATATTGATCTCTTCAGAAATATAATAGATATCAAACATTATGAAATCAGAATAAGTACCAGTCCACCTTCTTTTTGATATTCTTCATCAATATACACTAATTCCATGTCTTTTTCACTCGGGTGAGGTACATGCTCTAACGTTGTAGCTCTAAAAAAGATCAGAGAAAACAATTGATTATGAAGAAGGAAGCAATCCATACTTATTTCTTATTAGATTATTTTAAGAAACATTGAAAGTAAATTACGTTGAAAAACGAACTATATTCAAAAAACAAGCTACCGGTGGGATTGCTGATGGACGTGATTGTCAATCATCCCAAATATTCAGGATGATTAACTTCTCTAACAAAACTGACCAATCTAATGGATGAGACTTTTTTACAGTTAACTTTAAGTACGTATCAGTTAATTACAACGTCTTGAACGAATATGTTAGTATCAAGTTAACCATTTCTCTGAAGATTCAGAACCTCAAGAGATTTAAATCAAAACTTTCCATTCAATCACTTCAATATAAGAAATCTCATCAGCTTAATTTATTTAAAATAGAGACAACTTTTGTAAAAACCTGCATAAGAACTAATTCAAATTATAACTACGTTTTGCAAAGTTTCAGCTATTCATATAAAACAGTCTATTGACCGCATCTGAACAACATTTGAGAAAAATATGAAAGAATATCATCCCGCTTACTCTAGAAGATAAGACATAAATACATTTAGATAAAAAAAGAAACGTCAGTAACCTAATATACATCTAAAATCCTGCCAAAATACGAAAACATATCTATGTGTGGATCTGCTTTAAAACCTTTCTCAATTCAGTAGTGTGGATGTCGAAACAAACATACTAATTATATGATGATCTCTGTTGATTGGTGTACAACAATTACTTGGAATTTGGTAAGTGATTACATATCTTTAAATTATGACAGATTCAACAAGCCAATATATTAATAAAATAAAGAAAATTAACATTCAATACTACATTTGTTAAAATAGACTTTCAAAGCAAATCCTTACTTGATCAATGTCATAGCACCTACAATACAAAATACAGTGAAGATAATTGGCGTCACTTTCATTTTAATGTAAGATATTCAATTATAATAATTCACATATTCATGCATTATTTTATATAGTGATTTAAGAATAGTATATTGTGTCAATGACCCCATTATTTAGACCTATCCAACGTTAAATATTTCATCATTCTATATAATTTGATATATGTCTATAAGTGTAATGAGAATTTGTTTACTTTAAAGTGCTGAATGTTCAGTATAACATAAACGTTTTTTTGATGGAAGGGGGGTATTATATTCAATAGATGAATTGAATAGTCGGTTACTATGTAATATGACCTCATTAACGTTACATCGGTTAAATTGTTTATTAAAAATAGAGTTTAATCTAACTTTCCCTTCACATAAAGTTTATTAATAAGAATAACTTAATAATATGTAAACAGATATGTAAAGAACCATTGAGGTAACTCAATATACCATTTTGAGGATTCCAAAAAGTAGTCATAATAATATTGGTACAGACGTTATTGTATTTTTTGAATGAAAATGTAAATTTATAAATATATAAAACCTAATTCAATGCATTAAAACGAATGGTTGAGTTAAATAAAATGGCATAATTCGTCAATTCGTCTATACCATCTGTATGTTATGATGTATGTTAGTGAGTTCCAAAAGTTATCATGATCTAGACATCGGAAACATATACTCTACAAACAGTAATGATTTTAGTTAGTACAGGAATTTACTTACAAATTAGGGGATTAGATGTGTTATTCTGAAACATTATAGTACTTTACTACATGTCCAATCCACATGGCAGAGGAGCATCGTCAGGAGATGCAGTACCATGGTAGGCTGTGACAGACAACTGGTTCATACGCCATTCGTTCCTTCAGGATCCTGAAGCCCATGTGCATCATTAGTTTGGAATCATAATTTTTCAACTCCATCTAGGTCGATCCTCCATATCCACCAACCAACCCGGTTAAAGCGCCGAATATTTGTTTTTTGTCCTCTCAATTTCGTAAATAACATCCTCGCGGTGAGTAGGACTTCCCTGTTAATGGCTGTATACGCGTGGATATGTGAAAGCATTTCGAGAGGGAGAGCTGATTCATTACACCGTCGGACGTACCATGGAATTTGGATGTAACTTAACATCAATCGGTTGAAGATCTAAATAAAAAATTACCGATCTCCACAACTCCTCACTGATAATAATCATCATGTGCTCACTGGTGACTGACTCCAATGTAATTTCCTGATATTCTAGTGAGGAACCGTGACCAGTGAAGTCCAAATCGTGAAGGGTAGAGACAGGTATCTACCTCAGACAATGAATGAATGATTGGGCAACCATTCATGGATTGACTGAAGTTAAACGATCACACCCTTGGATGTCGTCTCACTGTTCTACAGTTTGGGTGCTCGAGTGCGGAACTGAATGTATTAAGTTTGAAACATGCGTGCAGAATTTGAGTTCCGTTGACGAATACTACTAAGGTAACTTTCCATTTTGAATTAATTAGGCTGAATAATAAAAGTAATTACTGTTTTTGTTCACTAAGCATCTATTGAATGAAGATGAAGAATTATTTCTCATATAAAATGAAATTTAACCCTCGAATTAAATGATCATCTAATCTATATTCTAATAAACTTTCATATGAATTTCACAACCACTTTTGTATCGATTTTGTTGAGAACGTTGTAAAACGTTCTTACAACAGATAATGTTTGTAAGGAATTCGAAGTTTTCAAGCGTCCGAATTGTAGTAATGATATAATGGAACCGTTGCTCTTTCTCATCTTGACCATCAGAACAAATCAAATCTATTTAAAACATGGCTTTGTTTGAACACAATTTTTTCTAGATATTTCTGCATTTATTTCACTCTCCTATTTAAACAATATCTTAGAGATTGTAATACTCATATGCTTGTACTTACGCAGTTTCCACTAAGATCACTTAATGTTAAATTATTTTGCTGATCCTACTGTACATTACCTCGTCCTGCTTAGTGCAATTGATTAGTTAGTTTCGAGCAATTGTTTTTATAATCACTAGTAAAATGATAATACTATTATGTAGCAGTTCTACGCAATTAGTATCACTCAATTATTATTACAAATGATAAATATAATATTAGTGTAGAACCTTCAAGAAAAGTTTCTTAGCTCTGTTCACACTTCTGAGAAATGTCTGAATGGGAACTTTCATCTGAATAAAACAAGACAGGTAGTTCTTCAGTTAGTGCCCATTAGTGGTAGAAACTATGTTCAAGCCGATCAAGCCATCGAAAACCACACTGCTGAATAATGAACAGCATTCTCTATTAAGAAAACATCGATAGACTGTTGAACAATAAATTAAACTAATTTAATCATTAGGTATTTCATAAACTATTTTCAAGTTAATGCTTTGAAACTATTTGTTGAAAGTTTCCGATTGTCCTGAATGGATATGTTACGACTGTATACTGCACAACAGGACGAAACGGTTGTCCAGTGCTTCCAGGTTTTCAATGATGGTCTAACATTATTCGATTCATGATTTCAATCAAAAACTTAGCAATCTCCACAACCACATACTGATACGACTGATTTATTTGGATTTGATCCTAAAAATGATTGTTCTTTTTCCATGTATTGAGAATCATTTATTTACCGTGTAATAACGATCCCCTAAAGTATTACGTTTTCCTTGTTAGATTTAACAAATAAATCTCTTTGCTCAATTGGAGGTGCAACGTTTAAAGTGATTGTGTTCAGATTCACTTAGGGCTTATTTATTGTAAACAAAAATACACACTTCCCCCCCAATGACAACTTATTCAATCCTCCTCTGTAAATACAACCATTTATAACTAAAACAATGTAACTAAAACTTTTATTAATAATCATCATAAATGAAATTCATTTTATTTTTATTTTTTATAAATCAAAGAAGAAAATCAATGTTTCTCCCAAAGTCCAAATTAGTTCATCTATTCATGACTTATGCAGACAATAAGAGAACGAAACATTATCTGCCTGTCAGATTTTGCATCATCATGGAGAATGCGGTCCATTGATTTGCTCATCAATAATACCAATAACTGGAAAATATACAAAAACAAATGTATATTTTTCTTCAATAAATAACCAAATCAAGTTTAAATAGTACAACGGAACAACAAGAATATTATGTGCGATTAATCGATAATTATTCTCTGAGGAAGTGGCTTACAATAAGTTACGAAACGTTAGAAAATCTAATTTTTTTCTACTTATTGGGATATTACAAATATATTAATTTATTTATAACAATCTAACCAATGCCCAATTGATTCGAAATTGTCAAATCAAACTTTAGTAATGATACCTATTAAAGATTATTATTATTATTATTATTATTCCTGCACCCCTCCTTTACTTATGTCTCATATTCTCATTATTTTATTCATAAGTGCTCATCATATCACTTTATTTATTTTCTACACTTCTATGATCTTTAATGTCCTTTAATTATTGTAACAAAAACATTTTAGTCATCTTATTACATGCACGTCATAATTCGTTACTAACGTACTAAGTCTATTGTTATTATTCGTATCACGTAATCTAGTATTATAATCTTTATATTACGTTATCTTCGTTATTCGTGTTCACATTTTCTCATGGAATTAATACTTTAACCCTTCGCTGAACGGTTGGGACAGCTTCTGACAACTACGACGTGGCCTTCAGAGATCCTAGAAGAGTCAAAACAATTCATCGAATCTGAAAGTAATGGAGCTTTCTGGAATATCAACGAGCTACTTTTGGGCAATAGCATAATATACCTCCTTGCGGATGGGTTGAATGATAATGTTGATTTAACAAATGTTAATATCTATAATTACTCATGATTTTCTATACATTTAAATTCTTGCCCAATAAGCACTTTCTCCAGTCATCTCCTGTTTTCTCATTTGCGACTTGGGAGGGTTCTAGAGTTCGACTACTCAAGTTATACTCGTTATATTAAGAATGTAATCTCTAGACATAACAAATTTCGTGTTTTTTTTGTGTTTTTTTAAAAAAAAATTTAAACATATTTTCATTTAACATTATTTCTTATAAACAAACATAGGAAACTAGAAGGTAAAAGGTGAAACCAGGTTCAGTAACTTACCTGTAGCTATAAGGGAATGTAATTTTTGTTCTAAGTTATCTGTTTCTAATATTGACCTAGTGATAGTTTGATTTTGTCCAGAAGACTGAATAATTAATTGTTGTATTCTCTTTATCGTTTTCATTACACAATCCGAATTCTATTTCGTTTTTTAATAACAAGAGGAGAAAAGAATTAAATTATATGTTGAATTTATTTTTCCTTGTAGATTACCTCATTAGACTGAACACTTATTTCGGTTGGAATTTGTCTAAAATAAAAAGTAAAAAGAAAAATTATTATAATGATCACGAGATTATGAGTTGAAAAGCGGTAAACGCATTTACATATATACTGTTGATTCTCAATGTAATAATTAGGCATATAATTTCAATGGCTGAGATGTGGATGTGCACTGCTGAGGAGTACCACAATAGGACGGAACGGCTGTCCAGTGCTTCCAGGTTTTCCATGGTGGTCTAGCTTCAATTGACTCATGATCTGAACCATTAAAGTTAGAATGTTGTTGGATAATATGAAAGAACTGCAAAGGTTATAGTCCAGGTGAATGCTGAAATAGACAAATTTATTGAAAGCTCGTATAGCATCGTCAATTAAATACGAGAGTAGAACAAGCACGATTAGAGTGGATCCCCGGTAACAGTCATCTATGTGCTGTTCGGTCAAACGGCTCCGTAAAACTCAGATGTGTAGGGACACGCGTTGTTGCTCGTTCGTCGTTTCTGCACACGATATCACTGACTGCAGCCCGGATGAGGTGAAAGATGACTTTCATTGAAAGCTTTCTGAACTTCATCAGAAAGCTAAACGCTCAGACATAGAACTCGTGACAGGTCACTTTAATGCAGAAGAAGTTAGCTCAAATCAAACACAAAGACATTTAGGTGGATATTATATTATCCCAGCTCAGCGAACAGATAATGGTGATCGTCTGCTGCAACTGTGCTCAGACAACCGTTTATTTTTAGCAAGCACCAATTTTAAGCATAAGGAGAGACATCGTCTAACATGGTGACCGCCTTCAACAAACCAACGATAAACTCAAATAGACCATATTGCCATCAGTCGTCGTTGGAGAGGCTCGATAGAAGACTGTCGCTCATTTCGGAGTACATGTTTAGACTATGATCATGCTGTAATACGAGCACGCATTTGCTTGCATCTCACTGAATGCAGAAAAGCCACCCTAAGAAGACCCATTAGAATTGAAGTAAGTGACGAGAAAGCCAAAAGTAGATTCTAGGAACAACTGAGTTCACACTTACGTAGTTCTGGAAACGAGGTTGACCTAGATGTTGCTTGCAAATTAATTAAATTGTACGGTAAAATTCTGGTTACAGATGGTATACGATTCAAACGAATAAGTCTGAATTTATCAATTATACCGCCCATTAATTCCATTTCTAAATCTTCTATTTATAAATTTTGATTTGATAGACAAATGTTACTATTCAACTTGATACATTGAAAGATGCTATTTCTGACCGAGTATAGAATCGAATTCTTGCTGCTCATATTATAGTGAGCTAATTATTCATTCCAAACTGATATTCAATGGTTCTTCAGTTAAAAACGTTACTTTGCATTTTTTTTTCAGTCAATTTTAAATGTTATAACTCAATGGTTCCACTACGAGTAGCTGTACACGTTCATCAACAGTTTAAAATAATACCGAAAATTACATAACAAGAATCATTTTTACGTGTTCAATCAAAGTTTGTTTGTTTGTTTGTTTTTAGGAAAAGAAACAACAAAACAAGTTCTCGGATTGAACCATTTCAATGAAAAGTGAAAAAATAAAATGCTCAGCTCACTTTGATAAATCGATATTCAAAGAGATCAGTAAAACTAATGACAGAATCATCTTCATCTTGTTGCTGTTGTTGTTGTTGTTGTTGATCTGATTAGCTCTTCTCAAAACAAAACGAGAAAATTTGTTTTCCTCAGATTGAAATGATATGAAATCTTTTGAACCTATATAGTAATTATTAAGTGAGTGCAACACTATCAGTTTTCTAAATGGTATCCAATTGAAAAATGATTATGGTTAGTAAATTGTATAGAATGAATAAAAAAAATAATACAAAACACATACAGGTAGATAAAAAAAACAAATTTCATGTTTTCATTTGTAACAATTTGATTATTGTTATTATTATTATTATTATTATTGTTAAATATTGTCAGAATATTACTGACCTCTATTAACAATCTGTATTTACTAATACCATAATGAACGAGAACATACAAGTGCGGGATAATCGAATGTATTTGAACACAAAATTACTGGACATCTTAGTTAATATCTGAGATCCATACTTCATTTGAAAAATGTCAATCAGTCGTCCAAGACTCTATTGTTCTTTCATTTCCACATCAATTGTTCTCTGTTCTCGTTCACTCTGTTTTCGATCTTCTTAACTTTCTGACTCCAGGTATTTCACCATCGGTTGATGATACATACTACTTATGTTTGTCGACATCAGTAACACATATCACAATACTATTACTGACGGAAGCTACTGAATAAAATAAGTCTATGTGTTGGAATTAGATCAGTTTCATCAGTCAGTTTGTCAACCACAACGTAGGACCATACACATATGCATCGGTGTAAGTTGCCATACATCATTAACACAACAAGATGAACACCAGATTCATAAAAGTAGTTTCATACAAACTGATGAGATGACTTGAAATGTGTTTTTTCTACTTGGACAAACGCTTTATGTCTATGTATGTTATATAGGAAGATCGAAACTGTGGTTCACTTAATTGTTATTTTGTGCAATTGTGATCGTGAATATATTGTGTAAAAATAAACAACCATAGGCTTTTTAATACTTATCTATTATAAAAGACAATTAAGATGGATCGTTATGTTAATGATTCATCGTTTTGGTTTTCTTTATAAGACGATTGATTATGATTTAAATGCTGCCTTCCGGTTTACTAGTTGTCTTTGTTGAATTTAATGAATTGAAGGTAACATTTAAAGACAAATGTTAAATCTTAGGATTCAATTCGAAATGAAAGAAGCGTAAGAGCTAAGTATTTTCTGTAAGTGTTGGCACTATTTAGCAACTAATAAATAATGATAGTCTTTTTTAATGAATTATTATGAAGAAAAAGCGAACATTAATTTATTCAGTTGCTTAATTAATGAATAGAATAATTCGTAAAGTATATCATAATAAACACCTTTAGGCTTATTTCTGAAGATCAACGAATAATCGTTGACTTACTCTAAGTAAATTCAAATGTGAGATAGTGACACACTGAAGACAACGGTGGATGTGTCGCTCAATTTCATGGATTAGTTGGAGTTAGATGTAGTGTCAGTTATTATGTTATGCGCTCATACCTTATTCTACCTTTCGAACAGGCCAATCTATTCATTCTACTTGAGTCATATTTTGACGTTGTTAATTATTGGCTTATCAATCTTGACTGTGTTTATATGAGCGTATATGGGTGTACACTTCTTATCCTATTCATCACATGTCTGTAGCCTATTATTGTATGATTATAAGTATTGATTGACGCTCGGTTAAATGGAGTTGGCTTACCCGCCATGTCCACTGCGTGTCGTTTCGCTTCGCTCTATTCCATTCACTTCATATACAAAATATATGTATTCAAATGTCCATTCTCTTTATTTGACCTATTTCATTACGTTATTGACTAACGCGATTTAAGTCGATGATTATATCTGATGATAGGCGACATAAACATTTCTACAGCAATCATTCAATAACAATCATTCTTAAGACTATTTAGAGTTAAATATCGTGCCACTTAACTGGACAGCCCGTCGACAACATTGTCTGATCTAAATGACGACAAAATAAAGGACCTCAGTAGATAGACATTAACACCATTGGATGTCAGCTCAGTGATCTGGAGGTTTCGCGCTCAAGCGTGGGACTGAAGGTCCTGGGTTTGAATCATGCGTTCAAAATCATGGGTTCACATTGCTAAGGTGTCCCATACTAGGACGAGACGGCCGTCCAATGCTTCCAGGTTCTCAGTGGTAGTCTAAGTTCATTCGATTCATGATCTCAATCAAAAAGTTAGCAATCGCCACAACTCCATACTGATAATTTACATAGTCCTATGTTAATTATCGCAGTACTTCACATTATTTATTGATTTGTGCTTATGTTATTACTAAATCATTTATTTTATATAGATATGAGTTTCGTTGACGAATACTACTAAGGTAACTTTCCATTTTTGAATTAATTAAGCTGAATAATAAAAGTCATTACTGTTTTTGTTCACTAAGCATCTATTGAATGAAGATGAACAATTATTTCTCATAAAAAATGAAATTTAACCCTCGAATTGAATGATCATCTAATCTATATTCTAATAAACTTTCATATGAATTTCACAACCACTTTTGTATCGATTTTGTTGAGAACGTCGTAAAACTTTCTTACAACAAATAATGTTTGTAATGAATTCGAACTTTTCAAGCGTCCGAATTGTAGTAATGATATAATGGAACCGTTGCTCTTTCTCATCTTGACCATCAGAACAAATCAAATCTATTTAAAACATGGCTTTGTTTGAACACAATTTTTTCTAGATATTTCTGCATTTATTTCACTCTCCTATTTAAACAATATCTTAGAGATTGTAATACTCATATGCTTGTACTTACGCAGTTTCCACTAAGATCACTTAATGTTAAATTATTTTGCTGATCCTACTGTACATTACCTCATCCTGCTTAGTGCAATTGATTAGTTAGTTTCGAGCATTTGTTTTTATAATCACTAGTTAAATGATAATGCTATTATGTGGCAGTTCTACGCAATTAGTATCACTCAATTATTATTACAAATGATAAATATAATATTAGTGTAGAACCTTCAAGTAAAGTTTCTTAGCTCTGTTCACACTTCTGAGAAATGTCTGAATGGGAACTTTCATCTGAATAAAACAAGACAGGTAGTTCTTCAGTTTGTACCCATTAGTGGTAGGAACTATGTTCAAACCGAACAATCCATCGAAAACCACACTGCTGAATAATGAACAACATTCTTTATCAAGAGAACATCGATAGACTGTTGAACAATAAATTAAACTAATTTAATCATTAGGTATTTCATAAACTATTTTCAAGTTAATGCTTTGAAACTATTTGTTGAAAGTTTCCGATTGTCCTGAATGGATATTAATTTAATTAATTAATTAATTTTTATATTCTGAAAAATAATAATTACAGAATTCACGCCAGTTTACAGGCATGATCAATTTGATATAAGTAATAACGTTAAACGTGCAGAAAACAAACATGTGTTAAAAGAAAGTTTTAAGTATACTAGTTCGCTAGTTGTTTAAATAGTACATATATTACAGCGATCCAAAGCATTATCCGGGAATTTTTTATTTTTTTTATAAATCGACAGCCTGTTGATTTATGAACGGTGTAATTAAGGTCAATTCGTGTGCCAGATCGAAATAATGATAACTATCTACGACTAGAGGAATTAAAACGAAAACAGAGAGCACGGAACAACAAAAAAGTAATTACCAAAATATATTAATCAGGTCTACCTAAATGCTTGTGTCATGTGGAACAGTGATATACTGTTTGTGTTATTCAAATTAGTTAAAGTTGCTATGGGCAGTGTTGACATACTGACAGCAAGTGGGTGGTTTTACTAAGGTGATTCACTAATAAAGATGGCTAAACATTTAAGGTTCCTAAAATATCACTTGTGGAATGAGATACACTTGAAGGCGCTAGACCATTCAATGCATTTTCAGAAGAACAGTATGCATCGATGCAGCGAACAAATAATGGGAGTGATTTTATCGTGCGGATAGGTTGTGGTAGGTTATTCCAGAGTCTAGAGAATTTACAGGTGAAGTAATTCATATAAAGAGATGATTTAGAATGAGTTTGTTTCACTAGTGCCAAGGAATTACGTATGTTATAATGAGAGGTTTCTGCATATTGAATCGCGTGATCGGATGTAAACGATAGTTTACGAAGTAGTTTGAAGAAAAAGATAAGATTTAGTTTGAGTCTCCTCTTCCATAAAGGGTCTAGCCCAAGTTTATCACATCTAAAATTATAAGTTAAGGTACAATCAGCTCCAAGAATACGAAGTGTAAATCGTCTCTGTACTGATTCCAGCCTTAATTTATCCTATATGAGAGCACTGCTAAAAATAAACGTGCAGTATTCCAGAAGAGGTCGAGCACAAACTTTGTACATTAGAATACGTGACTCAGTGTTGTAGAGATTTCGAGTTATGTAACCTATTAGATGTTGAGACTTAGAGGTCTGTTTTAATATATGTTCTGTAAACGACAAGTCTTGGGAGTATCTAAGTCCTAAGTCTACTACTGTATATAACTTAGATAACACTTCTCCATTTATGGTAACGTCTAGGTTGAGCGATGTATCGCCGAAGCATATCCATCCACATTTAGCCGTATGAAGCTCCAGTTGCCATTTCAAGCACCACTGTGTTACCTTGTTAAGCTCCATGCTGAAGCAATTTCGTATATTTTTCAGGTCATGTGGAGAAAATGAATATACTACTTTAAGATCATCTGCATATAGAAGGGGCTTACCGACACAAAAACTTTCACAAATATCATTAATAAACACTAAAAGAGCAAAGGACCTCAGACACTAACTTGTATTACTCCACTCCTAACAGGGACAGCGTTAGACAATGAAGAGTTAATTTTGACTATTTGGTATCGATTGCTGAGAAAGGAATCAAGCCAAGCAAGCAAAGGATTTTGAACCCAATAAGATGCGAGCTTACCTATAAGAAGTTGGTGGCTAACCATGACAAAGGCTTTAGAAATGTCCAGATATAGCACTAAGACTAGATAACCCTGTATACTGCACAACAGGACGAAACGGTTGTCCAGTGCTTCCAGGTTTTCAATGATGGTCTAACATTATTCGATTCATGATTTCAATCAAAAACTTAGCAATCTCCACAACCACATACTGATACGACTGATTTATTTGGATTTGATCCTAAAAATGATTGTTCTTTTTCCATGTATTGAGAATCATTTATTTATCATGTATTAACGATCCCCTAAAGTATTACGTTTTCCTTGTTAGATTTAACAAATAAATCTCTTTGCTCAATTGGAGGTGCAACGTTTAAAGTGATTGTGTTCAGATTCACTTAGGGCTTATTTATTGTAAACAAAAATACACACTTCCCCCCAATGACAACTTATTCAATCCCCCTTTGTAAATACAACCATTTATAACTAAAACAATGTAACTAAAACTTTTATTAATAATCATCATAAATGAAATTCATTTTATTTTTATTTTTTATAAATCAAAGAAGAAAATCAATGTTTCTCCCAAAGTTCAAATTAGTTCATCTATTCATGACTTATGCAGACAATAAGAGAACAAAACATTATCTGCCTGTCAGATTTTGCATCACCATGGAAAACTCGGTCGACTGATTTGTTCATCAATAATACCAATAACTGGAAAATATACAAAAACAAATGTATATTTTTCTTCAATAAATAACCAAATCAAGTTTAAATAGTACAACGGAACAACAAGAATATTATGTGCGATTAATCGATATTTATTCTCTGAAGACGTGGCTTACAATAAGTTACGAAACGTTAGAAAATCTAATTTTTTTCTACTTATTGGGATATTACAAATATATTAATTTATTTATAACAATCTAACCAATGCCCAATTGATTCGAAATTGTCAAATCAAACTTTAGTAATGATACCTATTAAAGATTATTATTATTATTATTATTCCTGCACCCCTCCTTTACTTATGTCTCATATTCTCATTATTTTATTCATAAGTGCTCATCATATCACTTTATTTATTTTCTACACTTCTATGATCTTTAATGTCCTTTAATTATTGTAACAAAAACATTTTAGTCATCTTATTACATGCACGTCATAATTCGTTACTAACGTACTAAGTCTATTGTTATTATTCGTATCACGTAATCTAGTATTATAATCTTTATATTACGTTATCTTCGTTATTCGTGTTCACATTTTCTCATGGAATTAATACTTTAACCCTTCGCTGAACGGTTGAGACAGCTTCTGATAACTACGACGTGGCCTTCAGAGATCCTAGAAGAGTCAAAACAATTCATCGAATCTGAAAGTAATGGAGCTTTCTGGAATATCAACGAGCTACTTTTGGGCAATAGCATAATATACCTCCTTGCGGATGGGTTGAATGATAATGTTGATTTAACAAATGTTAATATCTATAATTACTCATGATTTTCTATACATTTAAATTCTTGCCCAATACACACTTTCTCCAGTCATCTCCTGTTTTCTCATTTGCGACTTGGGAGGGTTCTAGAGTTCGATTGTTCAAGTTATACTCGTTATATTAAGAATCTAATCTCTAGACATAACAAATTTCGTGTTTTGTTCTGTTTTTTTTAAAATATATTTTCATTTAACATTATTTCTTATAAACAAACATAGGAAACTAGAAGGTAAAAGGTGAAACCAGGTTCAGTAACTTACCTGTAGATATTAGCGAATGTAAATTTTGTTCTAAGTTATCTGTTTCTAATATTGACTCAGTGATCATTTGATTTACTCCAGAAGACTCAATATTTAATTGTTGTGTTCCCTTTATCATTTTCATTTCATAATCCGTATTCTATTTCGTTTTTTAATAAAAAAGAGAAAAGAATTAAATTATATGTAGAATTTAATTTTGCTTGTAGATTACCTCATGAGACTGATCACGTAATTGAGCTGGAATTTGTCTAAAATAAAAAGGAAAAGGAAAAATTATTATAATGATCACGAGATTATGAGTTGAAAAATGGTAAACGCATTTACATATATACTGTTGATTCTCAATGTAATAATTAGGCATATAATTTCAATGGTTGAAATCATGAGTCAATCGAAGCTAAACAACCAAGGAAAACGTGGAAACACTGAACGGCCGTCGTGGATGTGCACTGCTGAGGAGTCAGTCCCACAATAGGACGGAACGGTTGTCCAGTGCTTCCAGGTTTTCCATTGTGGTCTAGCTTCATTTGACTCATGATCTGAATGAACCATTAAAGTTAGAACGTTGATGGATAATATGAAAGAACTGCAAAGTTTATTGTCCAGGTGAATGCTGAAATAGACAAATTTATTGAAAGCTCTTATAGCATCGTCAAAACCTAAAACTTGATAGTCAAAATGGTAATATATACAAAATATTTTAGTCCTATCAATGGACTAGCTTAATAATAAGCTACTACGTGATGGCTGCAGATCAGCTGAAGACCAATTTTTAGCGTGTGAACTAATTGAGGATGGTTGAACAGTAAAAAATTGTAACCTATATGCTCTAAACAGAATTCAAATCTCAGTAGGGAAATCATAATCAAGTACGTTTTAATCCATACCACAGAAGAAGTATGGTGATTTAACGAAGTATAATTTTGAACGCAGGAAATGCAATTTTCATATTTTTTATTTTGCATCAGAGTATTTGATTCATCATTCAGTTTTTCTTTTCTTCAATCATATTTTCAGGCTTGATATAGTGAATAGGCTTGCAATGTTATTTATTATTCAGTGTGATAGGTTACAAAATGAGGTTATTCGATTTTCCTATTTTTCAAGATGCACAATTTGAACCACCTTATAACGTCATGAACACCACTGTTAAACAGAATCTTACATGTCTGCAACATTTATTCCCTCGACTGTCGCTGCTACCTTGATTTGGTGATCGTGCTTGCCTATCATGATGAACCGATGGAGCTGTACTAGTTTAAACAATCGTTTCTCAAGGTCCTACCTTGCCAGACAGATCGGTTGAAGAGCGGTAAGACTAAAAGCAACAAACCCATGGTTCGAGGGAGACGTCGTACTGCTGATTGTTCAAAAGTGTGACGACAATAAATTGTCCCCTTCAGACAATCAGCATAATAGTGATGCTGCCTTTTCACAAGGAAGGATGGAGTTAAAAATGGTCGGCCATAAAAATGCACACGTCGATGTAACAAATACGGAGCCAATAACAAGATTACTCTTGTAAATTTTGTGTGACTGACCTCAAGCAGTTGTTCCTTGGGCACCGCCATCACGCTGTCAGGACACTAAGACCACACCGAACACAATTTTCTTTTCAGGCACACTTAGAAGAACCCTGCAACGGCATAGGCAACCGGGAAGTGATAGCTGCCCTCATACCTCTAGCAGCACAAACGATCACTATGTTCATATGCAAAGTTCACGTAGCAGGTGACTTTAATGCACAAGTATGTAGCTCAAACCAAACACAAAGACATTTAGGTGGGTATGATATTATCCCAGCTCAGCGAACAGATAATGGTGATCGTCTGCTGCAACTGTGCTCAGACAATCGTTTATTTTTAGCAAGCATCAATTTTAAGCATAAGGAGAGACATCGTCTAACATGGTGACCGCCTTCAACAAACCAACGATAAACTCAAATAGACCATATTGCCATCAGTCATCGTTGGAGAGGCTCGATAGAAGACTGTCGCTCATTTCGGAGTACATGTTTAGACTATGATCATGCTGTAATACGAGCACGCATTTGCTTGCATCTCACTGAATGCAGAAAAGCCACCCTAAGAAGACCCATTAGAATTGAAGTAAGTGACGAGAAAGCCAAAAGTAGATTCTAGGAACAACTGAGTTCACACTTACGTAGTTCTGGAAACGAGGTTGACCTAGATGTTGCTTGCAAATTAATTAAATTGTACGGTAAAATTCTGGTCACAGATGGTATACGATTCAAACGAATAAGTCTGAATTTATCAATTATATCGCCCATTAATTCCATTTCTAAATCTTCTATTTATAAATTTTGATTTGATAGACAAATGTTACTATTCAACTTGATACATTGAAAGATCCTATTTCTGACCGAGTATAGAGTCGAATTCTTGCAGCTCATATTATAGTGAGCTAATTATTCATTCCAAACTGATATTCAATGGTTCTTCAGTTAAAAACGTTACTTTGCATATTTTTTTCTGTCAATTTTAAATGTTATAACTCAATGGTTCCACTACGAGTAGCTGTACACGTTCATCAACAGTTTAAAATAATACCGAAAATTACATAACAAGAATCATTTTTACGTGTTCAATCAAAGTTTGTTTGTTTGTTTTTAGGAAAAGAAACAACAAAACAAGTTCTCGGATTGAACCATTTCAATGAAAAGTGAAAAAATAAAATGCTCAGCTCACTTTGATAAATCGATATTCAAAGAGATCAGTAAAACTAATGACAGAATCATCTTCATCTTGTTGCTGTTGTTGTTGTTGTTGTTGTTGTTGTTGTTGATCTGATTAGCTCTTCTCAAAACAAAACGAGAAAATTTGTTTTCCTCAGATTGAAATGATATGAAATCTTTTGAACCTATATAGTAATTATTAAGTGAGTGCAACACTATCAGTTTTCTAAATGGTATCCAATTGAAAAATGATTATGGTTAGTAAATTGTATAGAATGAATAAAAAAAAATAATACAAAACACATACAGGTAGATAAAAAAAACAAATTTCATGTTTTCATTTGTAACAATTTGATTATTGTTATTATTATTATTATTATTATTGTTAAATATTGTCAGAATATTACTGACCTCTATTAACAATCTGTATTTACTAATACCATAATGAACGAGAACATACAAGTGCGGGATAATCGAATGTATTTGAACACAATATTACTGGACATCTTAGTTAATATCTGAGATCCATACTTCATTTGAAAAATGTCAATCAGTCGTCCAAGACTCTATTGTTCTTTCATTTCCACATCAATTGTTCTCTGTTCTCGTTCACTCTGTTTTCGATCTTCTTAACTTTCTGACTCCAGGTATTTCACCATCGGTTGATGATACATACTACTTATGTTTGTCGACATCAGTAACACATATCACAATACTATTACTGACGGAAGCTACTGAATAAAATAAGTCTATGTGTTGGAATTAGATCAGTTTCATCAGTCAGTTTGTCAACCACAACGTAGGACCAGACACATATATGCATCGGTCTAAGTTGCCATACATCATTAACACAACAAGATGAACACCAGATTCATAAAAGTAGTTTCATACAAACTGATGAGATGACTTGAAATGTGTTTTTTCTACTTGGACAAACGCTTTATGTCTATGTATGTTATATAGGAAGATCGAAACTGTGGTTCACTTAATTGTTATTTTGTGCAATTGTGATCGTGAATATATTGTGTAAAAATAAACAACCATAGGCTTTTTAATACTTATCTATTATAAAAGACAATTAAGATGGATCGTTATGTTAATGATTCATCGTTTTGGTTTTCTTTATAAGACGATTGATTATGATTTAAATGCTGCCTTCCGGTTTACTAGTTGTCTTTGTTGAATTTAATGAATTGAAGGTAACATTTAAAGACAAATGTTAAATCTTAGGATTCAATTCGAAATGAAAGAAGCGTAAGAGCTAAGTATTTTCTGTAAGTGTTGGCACTATTTAGCAACTAATAAATAATGATAGTCTTTTTTAATGAATTATCATTACTATCTGAAGAAAAAGAGAACACTAATTTGTTCAGTTGCTTACTTAGTGAATAGAATAATAATAAATTGTAATCGTGAAGTATATCATAATAAACACCTTTAGGGTTATTTCTGAAGATCAACGAATAATCGTTGACTTACTCTAAGTAAATTCAAATGTGAGATAGTGACACACTGGAGACAACGGTGGATGTGTCGCTCAATTTCATGGATTAGTTGGAGTTAGATGTAGTGTCAGTTATTATGTTATGCGCTCATACCTTATTCTACCTTTCGAACAGGCCAATCTATTCATTCTACTTGAGTCATATTTTGACGTTGTTAATTATTGGCTTATCAATCTTGACTGTGTTTATATGAGCGTATATGGGTGTACACTTCTTATCCTATTCATCACATGTCTGTAGCCTATTATTGTATGATTATAAGTATTGATTGACGCTCGGTTAAATGGAGTTGGCTTACCCGCCATGTCCACTGCGTGTCGTTTCGCTTCGCTCTATTCCATTCATTTCATATACAAAATATATGTATTCAAAAGTTCATTCTCGTTATTTGACCTATTTAATTACGTTATTGACTAACGCGATTTTAGTCGATGAACATATACGAGGATAGGCGACACATACATTTCTACAGCAATCATTCAATAACAATCATTCATACGACTATTTAGAGTTAAATTTCGTGTCACTTAACTGGACAGCCCGTCGACAACATTGTCTGATCTAAATGACGACAAAATAAATGACCTCAGTAGATAGACATTAACACCATTGGATGTCAGCTCAGTGATCTAGAGGTTTCGCGCTCGAGCGTGGGACTGAAGGTCCTGGGTTTGAATCATGCGTTCAAAATCGTGGGTTCACATTGCTAAGGTGTCCCATACTAGAACGAGACGGCCGTCCAGTGCTTCCAGGTTCTCAATTGTAGTGTAACTTCATTCGATTCATGATCTCAATCAAAAAGTTAGCAATCTCCACAACTCCATACTGATAATTTACATAGTCCTATGTTAATTATCGCAGTACTTCACATTATTTATTGATTTGTGCTTATGTTATTACTAAATCATTTATTTTATATAGATATGAGGTTCGTTGACGAATACTACTAAGGTAACTTTCCATTTTGAATTAATTAAGCTGAATAATAAAAGTAATTACTGTTTTAGTTCACTAAGCATCTATTGAATGAAGATGAAGAATTATTTCTCATATAAAATGAAATTTAACCCTCTAATTCAATGATCATCTAATCCATATTCTAATAAACTTTCATATGAATTTCACAACCACTTTTGTATCGATTTTGTTGAGAACGTTGTAAAACGTTCTTACAACAAATAATGTTTGTAATGAATTCGAACTTTTCAAGCGTCCGAATTGTAGTAATGATATAATGGAACCGTTGTTCTTTCTCCTCATTTTTTGTGTTTCATTCACACAGAATATTGTTCACAGAATATTCTCATTGGTAACATAAATAGAAATGATAAAATCTGCATAAAATTTCAGAATTCTAATGATTTCTCTTCTTGTGAAACTCAATTTTATGTTTTATTAATGGGGCTGCTGAAACAATTTGTTCGAGATTAACAAAATATATTTTAAAGCTAATGCTCCAAATTTTCTTATTCACTGAAGGAGTTGAGGTAAAATTGAGAAAACTGATTTCATTCAGTATTTGATGAATGTTCTTGGAAGAAATTATCCCAGTTTATCTGGATACGAAAATGACAATCAACAATTTAGATTCTTTTATTAAGTCGATTTTAACTTTCATACATTGTGTTGATAAGCGACATATTATTAAACACGAAGTTGTACAATTTATTATAAATCATTACAATTTTCGTCTATCCACATACAAAATTGATAGACCTACAACATCTCAGAGCAACTGAATTTTTAAAATGTTGATGACTTTATTACAAGTTTAAAATGTATTGATATTGTACTCAACACAAAACTAGAAGGTCCCACGTTTGATCCTATTTACCATTGTTCATTTACATAACTAGTGAAATACAAACTAAAACGAATGGATTATTAAACGTTTTTCTCGTATCTTTGATGTACACAAGATGTCATGTTGGCTCATTTAACAACTTTCGAGTTTTACACCAAGTTTAATTGAATTCACTGCACATGTTTCAGACTCATATGCATACTGCTGAAGAAATCGCATTTCACTTTTACAAACATAACCTTTATACTCAAAAGAAATTTGTACAACTCATCTATCCATCTTGACCATCAGAACAAATCAAATCTATTTAAAACATGACTTTGTTTGAACACAATTTTTTCTAGATATTTCTGCATTTATTTCACTCTCATATTTAAACAATATCTTAGAGATTGTAATACTCATATGCTTGTCCTTACGCAGTTACCACAAAGGTCACTTAATGTTCAAATATTTTGCTGATCCTACTGTACATTACCTCGTCCTGCTTAGTGCAATTGATTAGTTAGTTTCGAGCAATTGTTTTTATAATCACTAGTAAAATGATAATACTATTATGTAGCAGTTCTACGTAATTAGTATCACTCAATTATTATTACAAATGATAAATATAATATTAGTGTAGAACCTTCAAGAAACGTTTCTTAGCTCTGTTCACACTTCTGAGAAATGTCTGAATGGGAACTTTCATCTGAATAAAACAAGACAGGTAGTTCTTCAGTTAGTGCCCATTAGTGGTAGAAACTATGTTCAAGCCGATCAAGCCATCGAAAACCACACTGCTGAATAATGAACAGCATTCTCTATTAAGAAAACATCGATAGACTGTTGAACAATAAACTAAACTAATTTAATCATTAGGTATTTCATAAACTATTTTCAAGTTAATGCTTTGAAACTATTTGTTGAAAGTTTCCGATTGTCCTGAATGGATATGTTACGACTGTATAATGCACAACAGGACGAAACGGTTGTCCAGTGCTTCCAGGTTTTCAATGATGGTCTAACATTATTCGATTCATGATTTCAATCAAAAACTTAGCAACCTCCACAACCACATACTGATACGACTGATTTATTTGGATTTGATCCTAAAAATGATTGTTCTTTTTCGATGTATTGAGAATCATTTATTTATCATGTATTAACGATCCCCTAAAGTATTACGTTTTCCTTGTTAGATTTAACAAATAAATCTCTTTGCTCAATTGGAGGTGCAACGTTTAAAGTGATTGTGTTCAGATTCACTTAGGGCTTATTTATTGTAAACAAAAATACACACTTCCCCCCAATGACAACTTATTCAATCCCCCTTTGTAAATACAACCATTTATAACTAAAACAATGTAACTAAAACTTTTATTAATAATCATCATAAATGAAATTCATTTTATTTTTATTTTTTATAAATCAAAGAAGAAAATCAATGTTTCTCCCAAAGTTCAAATTAGTTCATTTATTCATGACTTATGCAGACAATAAGAGAACGAAACATTATCTGCCTGTCAGATTTTGCATCATCATGGAGAATGCGGTCCATTGATTTGCTCATCAATAATACCAATAACTGGAAAATATACAAAAACAAATGTATATTTTTCTTCAATAAATAACCAAATCAAGTTTAAATAGTACAACGGAACAACAAGAATATTATATGCGATTAATCGATATTTATTCTCTGAGGAAGTGGCTTACAATAAGTTACGAAACGTTAGAAAATCTAATTTTTTTCTACTTATTGGGATATTACAAATATATTAATTTATTTATAACAATCTAACCAATGCCCAATTGATTCGAAATTGTCAAATCAAACTTTAGTAATGATACCTATTAAAGATTATTATTATTATTCCTGCACCCCTCCTTTACTTATGTCTCATATTCTCATTATTTTATTCATAAGTGCTCATCATATCACTTTATTTATTTTCTACACTTCTATGATCTTTAATGTCCTTTAATTATTGTAACAAAAACATTTTAGTCATCTTATTACATGCACGTCATAATTCGTTACTAACGTACTAAGTCTATTGTTATTATTCGTATCACGTAATCTAGTATCATAATATTTCTATTACATTATCTTGGTTATTCGTGTTCATATTTCCTCATGGAATTAATGCTTTTACAAATATATTTAAGGCGAGAGAGAGAGAGAAGGCCGTTCGCTGAACGGTTGGGACAGCTTCCGAGAACTACGACGGGGCTTTCAGAGATCCTAGAAGTGTCAAAACATTTCATCGAATCTGAAAGTAATGGAGCTTTCTGGAATATCAACGAGCTACTTTTGGGCAATAGCATAATATACCTCCTTGCGGATGGGTTGAATGATAATTTTGATTTAACAAATGTTAATATCTATAATTACTCATGATTTTCTATACATTTAAATTTTTGCCCAATAAGTACTTTCTCCAGTCATCTCCTGTTTTCTCATTTGCGACTTGGGAGGGTTCTAGAGTTCGATTGCTCAAGTTATACTCGTTATATTAAGAATATAATCTCTAGACATAACAAATTTCGTGTTTTGTTCTGTGTTTTTTTTTAAATATATTTTCATTTAACATTTTTTCTTATAAACAAACATAGGAAACTAGAAGGTAAATGGTGAAACCAGGTTCAGTAACTTACCTGTAGATATTAGCGAATGTAAATTTTGTTCTAAGTTATCTGTTTCTAATATTGACTCAGTGATCATTTGATTTTCTCCAGAAGACTCAATATTTAATTGTTGTATTCCCTTTATCATTTTCATTTCATAATCCGTATTCTATTTCGTTTTTTAATAAAAAAGAGAAAAGAATTAAATCATATGTAGAATTTAATTTTGCTTGTAGGTTACCTCATGAGACTGATCACGTAATTGAGCTGGAATTTGTCTAAAATAAAAAGGAAAAGGAAAAATTATTATAATGATCACGAGATTATGAGTTGAAAAGTGGTAAACGCATTTACATATATACTGTTGATTCTCAATGTAATAATTAGGCATATAATTTCAATGGTTGAAATCATGAGTCAATCGAAGCTAAACCACCATGGAAAACGTGGAAACACTGAAAGGCCGTCGTGGATGTGTACTGCTGAGGAGTCCCACAATAGGACGGTACGGCCGTCCAGTGCTTCCAGGTTTTCCATGGTGGTATAGCTTCAATTGACTCAGGATCTGAATGAACCATTAAAGTTAGAAAGTTGTTGGATAATATGAAAGAACTGCAAAGGTTATACAGGTGAACGCCGAAATGGACAAATTTATTGAAAGCTCTTATAGCATCGTAAAAACCTAAAACGTGATAGTCAAAATGGTAATATACACAAAATGTTTTAGTCCTATCAATGAACTAGCTTAATAATGAGCTACTACGTGATGGCTGCAGATCAGCTGAAGACCAATTTTTAGCGTATGAACTAATTGAGGATGGTTGAACAGTAAAATATTGTAACCTTTATGTTCTGGAAACGAGGTTGACCTAGATGTTGCTTGCAAATTAATTAAATTGTACGGTAAAATTCTGGTTACAGATGGTATACGATTCAAACGAATAAGTCTGAATTTATCAATTATACCGCCCATTAATTCCATTTCTAAATCTTCTATTTATAAATTTTGATTTGATAGATAAATGTTACTGTTCAACTTGATACATTGAAAGATGCTATTTCTGACCGAGTATAGAATCGAATTCTTGCAGCTCATATTATAGTGAGCTAATTATTCATTCCAAACTGATATTCAATGGTTCTTCAGTTAAAAACGTTACTTTGCATTTTTTTTTCTGTCAATTTTAAATGTTATAACTCAATGGTTCCACTACGAGTAGCTGTACACGTTCATCAACAGTTTAAAAAAATACCGAAAATTACATAACAAGAATCATTTTTACGTGTTCAATCAAAGTTTGTTTGTTTGTTTGTTTGTTTGTTTTTAGGAAAAGAAACAACTAAACAAGTTCTCAGATTGAACCATTTCAATGAAAAGTGAAAAAATAAAATGCTCAGCTCACTTTGATAAATCGATATTCAAAAAGATCAGTAAAACTAATGACAGAATCATCTTCATCTTGTTGCTGTTGTTGTTGTTGTTGTTGATCTGATTAGCTCTTCTCAAAACAAAACGAGAAAATTTGTTTTCCTCAGATTGAAATGATATGAAATCTTTTGAACCTATATAGTAATTATTAAGTGAGTGCAACACTATCAGTTTTCTAAATGGTATCCAATTGAAAAATGATTATGGTTAGTAAATTGTATAGAATGAAAAAAAAAAATAATACAAAACACATACAGGTAGATAAAAAAAACAAATTTCATGTTTTCATTTGTAACAATTTGATTATTGTTATTATTATTATTATTATTATTGTTAAATATTGTCAGAATATTACTGACCTCTATTAACAATCTGTATTTACTAATACCATAATGAACGAGAACATACAAGTGCGGGATAATCGAATGTATTTGAACACAATATTACTGGACATCTTAGTTAATATCTGAGATCCATACTTCATTTGAAAAATGTCAATCAGTCGTCCAAGACTCTATTGTTCTTTCATTTCCACATCAATTGTTCTCTGTTCTCGTTCACTCTGTTTTCGATCTTCTTAACTTTCTGACTCCAGGTATTTCACCATCGGTTGATGATACATACTACTTATGTTTGTCGATATCACTAACACACATCACAATACTATTACTGACGGAAGCTACTGAATAAAATAAGTCTATGTGTTGGAATTAGATCAGTTTCATCAGTCAGTTTGTCAACCACAACGTAGGACCAGACACATATATGCATCGGTCTAAGTTGCCATACATCATTAACACAACAAGATGAACACCAGATTCATAAAAGTAGTTTCATACAAACTGATGAGATGACTTGAAATGTGTTTTTTCTACTTGGACAAACGCTTTATGTCTATGTTTGTTATATAGGAAGATCGAAACTGTGGTTCACTTAATTGTTATTTTGTGTAATTGTGATCGTGAATATATTGTGTAAAAATAAACAACCATAGGCTTTTTAATACTTATCTATTATAAAAGACAATTAAGATGGATCGTTATGTTAATGATTCATCGTTTTGGTTTTCTTTATAAGACGATTGATTATGATTTAAATGCTGCCTTCCGGTTTACTAGTTGTCTTTGTTGAATTTAATGAATTGAAGGTAACATTTAAAGACAAATGTTAAATCTTAGGATTCAATTCGAAATGAAAGAAGCGTAAGAGCTAAGTATTTTCTGTAAGTGTTGGCACTATTTAGCAACTAATAAATAATGATAGTCTTTTTTAATGAATTATCATTACTATCTGAAGAAAAAGAGAACACTAATTTGTTCAGTTGCTTACTTAGTGAATAGAATAATAATAAATTGTAATCGTAAAGTATATCATAATAAACACCTTTAGGGTTATTTCTGAAGATCAACGAATAATCGTTGACTTACTCTAAGTAAATTCAAATGTGAGATGGTGATTCACTGAAGACAATGGTGGATGTGTCGCTCAATTTCATGGATTAGTTGGAGTTAGATGTAGTGTCAGTTATTATGTTATGCGCTCATACCTTATTCTACCTTTCGAACAGGCCAATCTATTCATTCTACTTGAGTCATATTTTGACGTTGTTAATTATTGGCTTATCAATATTGACTGTGTTTATATGAGCGTATATGGGTGTACACTTCTTATCCTATTCATCACATGTCTGTAGCCTATTATTGTATGATTATAAATATTGATTGACGCTCGGTTAAATGGAGTTGGCTTACCCGCCATGTACACTGCGTGTCGTTTCGCTTCGCTCTATTCCATTCACTTCATATACAAAATATATGTATTCAAATGTCCATTCTCGTTATTTGACCTATTTAATTACGTTATTGACTAACGCGATTTAAGTCGATGAATATATACGAGGATAGGCGACATAAACATTTCTACAGCAATCATTCAATAACAATCATTCATACGATCTACTTCGAGTCAGATCTCGGGCTTTTAAAGTGGACAGCTCATCGACAGCATTGTCTGATCTAAATGACGACAAATTAAAGAGGACCCTCATAGATAGACATTAACACCATTGGATGTCGGCTCAGTGATCTAGAGGTAAGACGCGTGTTCACATTGCTAAGGTGTCCCATACTAGAACGAGACGGCCGTCCAGTGCTTCCAGGTTCTCAATGGTAGTCTAACTTCATTCGATTCATGATCTCAATCAAAAAGTTAGCAATCTCCACAACTCCATACTGATAATTTACATAGTCCTATGTTAATTATCGCAGTACTTCACATTATTTATTGATTTGTGCTTATGTTTATTACTAAATCATTTATTTTATATAGATATGAGTTTCGTTGACGAATACTACTAAGGTAACTTTCCATTTTGAATTAATTAAGATGAATAATAAAAGTAATTACTGTTTTTGTTCACTAAGCAACTATTGAATGAAGATGAAGAATTATTTCTCATATAAAATGAAATTTAACCCTCTAATTCAATGATCATCTAATCCATATTCTAATAAACTTTCATATGAATTTCACAACCACTTTTCTATCGATTTTGTCGAGAACGTTGTAAAACGTTCTTACAACAAATAATGTTTGTAATGAATTCGAACTTTTCAAGCGTCCGAATTGTAGTAATGATATAATGGAACCGTTGTTCTTTCTCCTCATTTTTTGTGTTTCATTCACACAGAATATTGTTCACAGAATATTCTCATTGGTAACATAAGTAGAAATGATAAAATCTGCGTAAAATTAGAATTCTAATGATTTCTCTTCTTGTGAAACTCAATTTTATGTTTTATTAATGGGGCTGCTGAAACAATTTGTTCGAGATTAATAAAATATATTTTAAAGCTAATGCTACAAATTTTCTTATTCACTGAAGGAGTTGAGGTAAAATTGAGAAAACTGATTTCATTCAGTATTTGATGAATGTTCTTGGAAGAAATTATCCCAGTTTATCTGGATACGAAAATGACAATCAACAACTTAGATTCTTTTATTAAGTCGATTTTAACTTTCATACATTGTGTTGATAAGCGACATATTATTAAACACGAAGTTGTACAATTTATTATAAATCATTACAATTTTCGTCTATCCACATACAAAATTGATAGACCTACAACATCTCGGAGCAACTGAATTTTTAAAATGTTGATGACTTTATTACAAGTTTAAAATGTATTGATATTGTACTCAACACAAAACTAGAAGGTCCCACGTTTGATCCTATTTACCATTGTTCATTTACATAACTAGTGAAATACAAACTAAAACGAATGGATTATTAAACGTTTTTCTCGTATCTTTGATGTACACAAGATGTCATGTTGGCTCATTTAACAACTTTCGAGTTTTACACCAATTTTAATTGAATTCACTGCACATGTTTCAGACTCATATGCATACTGCTGAAGCAATCGCATTTCACTTTTACAAACATAACTTTTATACTCAAAAGAAATTTGTACAACTCATCTATCCATCTTGACCATCAGAACAAATCAAATCTATTTAAAACATGGCTTTGTTTGAACACAATTTTTTCTAGATATTTCTGCATTTCTTTCACTCTCCTATTTAAACAATATCTTAGAGATTGTAATACTCATATGCTTGTCCTTACGCAGTTTCCACTAAGGTCACTCAATGTTAAATTATTTTGCTGATCCTACTGTACATTACCTCGTCCTGCTTAGTGCAATTGATTAGTTAGTTTCGAGCAATTGTTTTTATAATCACTAGTAAAATGATAATACTATTATGTAGCAGTTCTACGCAATTAGTATCACTCAATTATTATTACAATTGATAAATATAATATTAGTGTAGAACCTTCAAGAAACGTTTCTTAGCTCTGTTCACACTTCTGAGAAATGTCTGAATGGGAACTTTCATCTGAATAAAACAAGACAGGTAGTCCTTCAGTTAGTACCCATTAGTGGTAGGAACTATGTTCAAGCCGATCAAGCCATCGAAAACCACACTGCTGAATAATGAACAGCATTCTCTATTAAGAAAACATCGATAGATTGTTTAACAATGAATTAAACTAATTTATTCATTAGATATTCCAATCCCCGTCGCCAATTATTGTGACTTGAACTTGGATGGATTTCTACTCCGTGACAATTGTGTGTCCTTGACTGAAAGATTAGAGAACAGTGTATTATCGATCGGACCAAAGACGCGTATAACACGTAAGAACAACCTAGAGTTTTCATTCGCCCTGCTTCCCTGTCTATCCCAGCCAGTTAGGACCAGAATACAAGTCTCAGCCTCTGAGATATGAATAATTGTATTTCAAGCATACTCTGTTTATATACCAATCAACCCGACCACAACGTACCAATAAAATAGAAAATAACATTTGTAAAATAATTAGCCAGAAGTGGCTGTGAATGAGGGAGGCAGCGACTAACAGATAGGGAATAATTCATCAATGGTAAATCGTACAATAGTAGTTCACAGGTCAACATCAAGCTCATAATAAGAGCGGTATGAATATGAACAGTTCAGTGGCATAACAATTATACGATAAAAATATAACT